GGGGGGGTAAAACAATCAAAAGAGCGTGCTCATCAGCCTAATCTAAGGCTTATTGTACTCGTAATATATCCAGATGCTGTGTAGCGGCCATCGAAAATCACTCGCCGGGCCAAAGAAGGTTTCCGGGAGTATTAGAGCTTACGGCATCCATACCTTACCCAAGAACCCAAGAACACTGCCGTATGAAATAGCCCGCTGGAGTATTGTCAGGAGGCAGATGACGAGAACCAGGGTAATTCTCGCGAGAGAGAGCCAAGTAGGGCCAGCTATTGTGTAATAAGTTGCCAGTGCCCGCACTTTTGAGTCTGACAAACAGAAGATCCACGGCGAAACAACGACGAACTCCAGACTTTTTTTTCTTAGTGCAACCCCTCCCCCATGGAGGCGTAACACGTTGCATCGTAAGAAAACGAGAAACGGTCGACGAAAAAAGTCCCAGCCTAGGCTTGAGGCTGATGATGCAATGTCGGGATACAATTGGTTTCTGATTATACCCCCTTCTTCCTGGCCGGCCCCAACTGCCAAGGAGCTCGGTCTCTTTCAATCCACGTCGTTAGTCTGCAAATTCTGTTCCCCGTTGATGAATAAAGCAAGAAAAGGCCTGGGACCCCGCACAGAGGTCTGCTTTCTCCAGGTCTAGATCTTAGAGCAAGATATGAAGTACGCGTTAGACACCTGTAGATACCAGCACTCTGAATGGAGCCTGTATAGATAGACAGTAGCCCCGTCGTTGAGGTGCTACCCCATGCGCACTAATGTCGGATCGCAATTGATAGATAGCAAAGATGGATTGTGGGCGGCTCGGCCGGGCGCTGACCGTCAGCTCTCTCCAGTGCTTTAGCCGTCCTCTCCGTACCCCCTTGGGCGTGAGTGAATTTGGACCCTTCTGTCCCATTAGCCGCCGGCGTCGTCTTCTCTTCTTATCAAGCAGCAGCAATCGCAAGTCGCCAACCGGACGGTGTATGTACAGCGGTATTTCGCAATACTACTACCTAGTGGTCGCAATCTCCAGCCAGCCAAGCAGATTTGCCAACCGATGATGGGTTGATGCCGAGGCGATGGCTTCGGCTATCGCACGGGGACCCTCGCTTTGTACGTTCGGCCTGATGATTCCACTGTCTTGCACATGTAATAGTAGTACCTACTCGTAGCTTGCTCTGATGGGTACTTCGTACGAGAGCCGAGTCAAATTGGCCCCGGATACCGAGCGGCGCCGCGCCTCCACTGGGGAAATTGGGAAGTCGGGGGCAGAAAGTCATGATAAGCACGTGGGCGATGGCGAGGTCTGATTTGGTTCGGTCAGTCCACCTCGTGCGCCGCTGCTGAGTAGGGAAAGGTAATCGAGGCCATCGAAAGTCGACCAGCACGCGGCGGTCGTTTCTCTACCGGTTTACACGTGAAAGAAACATGGCGTCTCTACACGCCAAACGTACTCGTATGTTGAAGGATGACGGGCGGTTCTCCTGCTACTCCGGCCGTCTAGCACGGAAGTCCGGGTCCGTAGCACTCCGGGCTTCAGCCCCCCCAAAGCAAGCAAAGTGGTACCTATCGCGAAGCAAGGTGAGGCCCAAGGTATTATCGCCGCGAGCTCCCCGAGCTGAAGCATTTGCAGTCAGCACCCAGCATCTTTCTGTCGTGATAGTATTCTCCTGGGGCCCGAGTGACCCCATTTGCCGTGTCCATTGCGCAAACTCGGACCCTGCCTTCTCCGTAATTCAGCCGAATATGCCCGTCCAATATCTCTCCAGATATGGACATGCGTCCCCCATTCCTCTCGTCGGGGAGATCCATGATAATCCGGTATCTCGGCTCAGAGTACGGAGTCGCACTACTGCAACTAGAGACCATCGAGATACTTGATGCTAGCTCTGCTTCTTGCTCTCATGTTATGCAGAATATTTGGAGCGCTGCCCTCTCATCACCATGGTCAGGCATGACCCTTTTCCTACTTGGTAGTTGGACCCAAATGTACGCAGTGTCTTTCTTATGCCGAGTTTTGGTCCGGCCGGCAAACATGTGCTTTCAGACGCCAGATACAAAGGATCATATAGATGGGCCGAATATTGGAAGAAAATCCTCGGATCAAACATGCCTCACGCCATACCCACGGAGTCCTTCCGAGTTCTCTTCGCACATCCTTATCGCCTTTCATCTCCTCTGCAAAAATTCTTTAGCGAGCATTGCTCTGAGCTGGTGGAGACTTTGCCAAGGGTGCCGTCAAGATGGTAGGTGTAATTAAAATTGAGCAGCGACGGAGCAGCTCGATATGGCCCCATCAGTGTCGGCACTGCGTAGATTCCAACCTCGTGGTGTAGTAGTAGTAGTAGTACGAGTACACATCACTTACTACTAGCCGTACCCGCTGCGAGAGAAGGTCCCTTCTGATCAACCGTCATGCGGTCCGTATGATGATGCACTAGTTCTCCAGAAGTGTCGACTGATGCCCCTTTGGTCAGGTCGTATTCAATAAGGATATCGGCCGCGACAACCCATTTTGCCTTGCCGCGTATTACCCCGTATTGGCGGAATAATTGTTGCGTGTTTCTCTCTCGGGCATGAAACCAAAGCACAGGCTCTGTAACCTCTGTTTCACAAGCAGGTCGCATTGATCCATGCCTTGAGCAGCCCGTGCAGCCTGTAGGCTTCCTTGCCCGGGGTGTCGGCCGGTCTTCCCCGTTCCGAGAACAGTTACGTGGCGGTTTGTCTCGGTGACAAGGGGAGCAGCACCCTCAGGAGATCTAAGATCATTGAACCCCCGGATTTCCTGAAGCAGCTTAGAGGCGCAAGGGTCGACTGGACATGCCCGAGTCCGAGCACTCGTACATGTTTGAGCACGATTTCGCAAGGGACTCGTAGCTATTTGGCCGGGCGGCTGATACAGGGATGTACAAACAACTGATGAATCCAGGCAATCAGTACTTGTATCAGAAGCCGGATTCGGGAAGAGAAAGTTGACAAGTAGAGGCGCGCTAATGCCAATGGCGAATCCGTCGACGGGTGCCTAGACCTCCGTCTGGGGGACTTGGCCCCATTGCGGGATCATTAATTACTACTGCTGAAGCCCAGAGCACGCGCCTCGCTGATAAGAAACACCCATTCTAGACGACATGAATGGGGAGGTGGCGGCCGTGCCAGACTAGCGATCTCTTTGCGCGGCGCCAATTGCAGGGGATATCTGGTGCGAGATAACAAGACACTTGAACCCCCACATTCTGTCGTAGGGAGGGAGCCAGGGTATTTCTGGGGTCCCCGGCTGGGGGAGATGGAGGCAGCATGAATCGACAGGGCCCTTCAAGACATTGTCGCGCCGAGGATAAGGAAGGCCGAGAGTCATGTCCAGAGACTTGAGCAGTAATACGGAGTAGGGAGTGTCTGCTTCGTAGTACCGTACTTCGTATCTGGACCAAATTAGGGTACTTTTTTGAACACCAAGGGCGCACTAGGAATGATAGAACGCCACCCTGAGTCGGATAATGGGTGAGAAAATGCGTGAAAGTCTGGGGAAGCATCCTCTGGGGATTCATCCTCCGGGGAATGCTGCATATTCACACCCATGTCTCACGGACCATCGCGTTCGCCTTGTAAGGAAACAGGATGGACCAGCTCAATTACGGACGCGCTTTCGGAAATGGCAGTGGTACATTGTCGTAGCATTGCCTGCTCCCTGGAGCACTTGGCCAGCGGAGAAGCAACAAGGTCCCGGCAAGCAAACATGTACAGCAGTGAACTGATCACCGCTGGCCTAGTTTCGTCAAGGCAGGTCGCACTCGTCCGCTAACGCCATTCACTATTCAGGTGAGCCAAGATCGACTCCATAAGATCGCAGAAGACCAATTTGCAGAGGCTACGGTAGCCTCAGAAGTTCAACCATTACCAACAAGAACCAAATCGTGGCAAGGGAGATGGCAGGCAGCAAAGCGGAAAGGGGTTGTTACATAGCCGAGACACGGCTGCGTTGCCCGCGGAAGAATTATTTGCGTTGAGAGGCTGTATCCTGATCCTGCTGCTAGTAGTAAGCTACTGGTGGAAGAAGATAGCTGTCCAGGTTGAGGCCGGGATACCGACTGGTTGTAGCAGTGAGTTGGTTGAACAAAGACGAGCCAAGAGAATAGAACGTAAAAGAGGCTGATCCCGCTATTCAGCACTGGCTAAGCGCGCGGATCGTGAGCCAGCAGACGGGCCCTCACGCCTGTACGATTGATGTTCGAGTAGGGATCAAGTGATTGACAGGTTCCTGGGAGGCGTGACCACATACTCCATGGGGTCTGCCATGCCGCGATAACAAAGATGGGCTTGGCTTCCCCAGATATTAGTGGCCAACATCACTCGTGCGAGGACAGGTATGTAGGAGACGATAGCCTGTTCCAGGTCCTGGACATTGTTGGTGGTTGTGACACTTGACAACCCCCACCTGTGGGCGATGAACATGAATTCGCACGTAGCACTCGTCGTCAGTTGCAGGCGGCCTGGTACGAGCTGTATAAGTTGGTTGTCACTTTGGCCCCCAAAGAGTGGGATATAGCGTCCCGATGACCTTTGCAACCGGGGATGGGAACAAGAGACGGGCGCTTTCAAGGTAGCGAGACGAAGCCAGCTGACTGAAAATGCGAGCAAAGCTGAGCAAAGGTCAGCGTAAAGAGGTTGCAGCGGGATTCTGTCTGCTCACGTGCGATTATGAGCAGCCCAATTCCTCGTCCATCTCGTGCTAGTCATCGTCCTTTTGTCATCTTGGGACTCCGCCTTCTCTGTCTTTGCTTTCACCTTTCTTGCTGCTTCTCTTTCTCCTCCTTCTTGCTCTCTGTGATCTCGTCAGAATTGTTGCCTCAGTGGAAAAATTTACCCTGGCAATCGCATCATCAACCACTAGCGGGAGGAATGCACGACACAAATTTTTGTAGTGCTATAAAAGCACATTCAAGCAATGGTTAGCATGCTGTGAGTGTGTGCGTGAAGCAAGCAAGTTTGGCACCACGGCACCTTGGCCTCGTAGCGGTTAGCGTTCGGCCCCACGACACGGGAAAATGAGTCGTGCCCAGAAGCAAAAACCAGCGCGCGAGTTGAATCGATAGAGTAATGGCTTCGTCGCTGGCAAAGAGCCGCCGGGCGATCATCGATGCATCAAAAGGCTCGTTTCTGGCACCTGGCCCGTCTTTTGCGTGCGCCGACCCTCGACGAAGCCAGCCACACCAAACCGTACTATTGCGTGCGTATCTGTAGGCAACCCGCGAAGAAACAGAATAGAGTTGAGGTCTTCTCCAGGCGCTGCGGCCAAAGAGGAAAGGGGTCCATCGCATGACAAGCATCCTCTCGGAACTTTGACGGCCGCACGCAGCGCCATGCTGCTCAAAACGGTCCTGGGCTGATGTTTCTCCTGTTCTGATTTTGGTTCCGTCCCCAGGCCAGGTACTCGAATTCGCGCTTGGCACCTGGTAGCACTAGCTGGTACCTTGAGGTTCGAAAGGTCCTCCGGGCCTCCAAAGCCACGCAAATCGCTATTCCGGGGAATGACGGCCAATCAGTCGAGCACGACAGACGCTGCGCCTCATTCTGTCCGATACCGTTCGAGTAGTAGTAGCAGCCGGGGTTGACGTGGGCACGGCTGGTCTGAGTGCAAATGTGTGTAATTTTGAAGGCAAAGGGAACTTGGGCGGTCAGTGGAGCCAGGCTCGGTGAAAAGGCCAAAGGCGAAAGAAAAGCTCAACAGAAAGAGGGCACAGCGTACTCGTATGTGTACAGTAGCAAGAGGCAGGCACGACAGTGAAAACCCTTCTCTTTCCCTCACCGTCCGACCGCGGTTTCCACCGTGGTCGCGGCCGAGGGGCGTCCCAATAGCGGCAAAACGCTCTGTTTGGTGCCTCGTAGTCTACGGAGTAGCAGCGCTTGCATCTGAGAGAGCAGGGGAAAAAATGGAAGCCATTGGAGCACGCTAGGCACGTAGTCGAGGGCATGTACCCTCCGCCCGCGAGTACTTTGGCCCTCGCCGAGCATCTCCCGTGGGCCGAGCTGGCATCGGCCATCTCACTTGGTGAGCCCTGTCTATCTCACCCACCCTCTGCTGGGGTTCAGGGCTGCTAGGCAGTACTTGGCATTATCTGCTTAGGGCACACCCTGCCATCGGCACACACCTCCCCTCTCGCCCACTCCCACTGGCTCCTTCCCTGTGGCCCCTGCCCTTTCGCCCCAGCTGGGGCTCCCACGCCCACTGAATTGGAGGGCAAGGGCTGGGGGGCTCTGAAATGCTGGGGCGCGAGGTACAACCATCTGAGAGCCGACAAGTACCCCGTGCCCCCTTTCTGGCCGACTCTGAGCCCTGGCGACGTGTCCCTCCGTCTGCCCCCCTCGTCCTTTCAGCGCCCCATCGCGCCATCGAGCCCACTGGACGGTGGCATGCAGCGCTGTTGCACCCCCAAAGGCCGCTGCCTAAGCCCTGCGTGACGCCCCTGATTTACCGCCCCGTGTAGCGACCGCAGCATGTGCTTGTGGTGGTGCGGTCGAGGTACTTGCGCACAAGTACCGCTTTCCCAGGTACGCACACATTGTACTCCCGCACTTGCCCTCCCTGGTGCCCATGTACGAATCGAAGTACCGACCCGGCCGAGCCCGCCCTTATTAAAGCGAATCCCCCCCCGTCCCCTCCTCTCCCGGAAGAAAAAAAAAGTTCGCTTCTCCCTCGATGAACGAAGAAAAAACAACCACCAGAACCACATTCACTCACACACCCTCACATCGCATCTCGATCCTGCAACTACCGACGACAAGAGCCTCATTCATTTGACCGGAGAAGAATCGTTATCAACAGCGCTACCACCCGCCAGCAGATATCTGTATAGATCAGCAGTCTCTCCTCCCCGCAAAAGAGGACAACCGCATACTACTAGCAGAGCCTGCTCCCGCCAAAACCCACACTCGCTTCTCTGGCTCTCTTGTAACCCAAGACTTGTCGTCTCAACATCGCATATTGCTTTTGACTGCCGCTCGATCACATGCAACGAGCTCAGTCTGCCGTGGATTTTTCCAACCTCCTGAATCCAACTTCAGCAGCGGGACAGGACAGCGGCGCCATGTCTACCGCCGCGGTTACCGTCATCAAGCCCAATGGGCCCATCCCAGGAACTCAGTCGACCGAGACTGCCAACGAACTGCCTCGTCCCTACAAGTGCCCTCTTTGCGACAAGGCATTCCACCGCCTGGAGCACCAGACCAGGCACATTCGCACCCACACGGGCGAAAAGCCCCATGCCTGCCAGTTTCCTGGCTGCAGCAAGAAGTTCTCCCGCTCCGATGAACTGACGAGGCACTCGAGGATACACAGCAACCCCAACTCGAGGCGCGGCAACAAGGGCCAGCAGCAGCACCAGCTTCACCACCAGGGCATGCCTCATCCCATGCACGTCGATGGCCTGATGCACCCTCCTGCGGCGCCAAAGGCCATCCGCTCTGCGCCCCCTTCGACTCTCGTCTCTCCCAACGTGTCGCCTCCCCACTCCTACTCGTCCTTTGTCATGCCTCACGGCCCCATTTCCCACTATGGCCGCGGCAACGACATCACGATGCTCGCCAAGGCGGCAAATCAGATTGAGCGCGAGACGCTTTCTGGCGCACCCTCTAACCACAACTCGAGGCACCACCCGTACTACGGCCAGGGCGTTCAGAGCTCTCGAGGCCACCCCTCGCTGTCGTCGTACCACATGGCGAGAGCTCACTCCAACGACGAGGACGACCACTACCACTCAAGCTTGAGGCACGCTAAGAGGTCGAGGCCCAACTCGCCCAACTCCACGGCTCCCTCTTCTCCCACCTTCTCCCACGACTCTCTGTCTCCCACCCCGGATCACACTCCCATCGCAACTCCCGCTCACTCCCCTCGCCTCCGTCCCTTTTCGGGCTACGAGCTGCCGAGTCTGAGAAACCTGTCGTTGCAGCACAATACGACTCCGGCGCTGGCCCCCATGGAGCCTCACCTGGACGCTCCGCAATTTCACCCGCAGCTGCAGGCGAACACCACCCGCAGCCCCGGCATGTCGCTTACCGACATCATCAGCCGCCCCGACGGGAGCCAGAGGAAACTGCCTGTTCCTCAAGTCCCTAAGGTGGCGGTCCAGGACCTCCTCTCTGACGGCGTCTTCCCCAACAGCGGCAGAAGTTCAACTACGGGCAGTCTTGCTGGTGGCGACCTCATGGATCGGATGTAGAATGTCCGGTACGCATGGCGCGCCTCGAATGACTTACGACTTTGGGCTATAGATGGATAGAAAGAGTTGGCGTTAATGGTTTGGAATTGGAAAGGGAAATGGACACGGAAATGGAAATGGACAGGGTCGTCCCCCGCAGGACTTGACACGGGCTATTTTGTTTTCTCCTTCTTGTTCCTCTTTTTTGTGTGCTTTTTTGCTCATTTTTTTTTTCTGTACGCTTGGATGGATCCCTACACTACACGGATGGCCAAGGAAATATAGACATCACCACTTTCCCAACGGACTACTATTTAATGCTCCGTTTCTCGACCTCTCTACTTTTGTTCTACTTGTTTTGTTTTTGGTTCCTTTCACCTGGTACACTACAGCGGAGGACTAGTTAGATTCAGCGGCTACCCCGTTATAGTTGCAACGGATATCCAAAAGAAGCCGGTCATAAGACGATTGCTGAAAAGCCTACGCTCCCCGCACATAGAGTTTCTTCCTCTCCTTGTCCGTGAACTTGCTCTGTTCGCTGGTCTATCCTCTTTGCGTTCCACAAGCCACTAAAAAAACCTGGGCCCGGCACTTGGCCTCTGCGAGGTTCGGCAGCGCAGCGGGATGGGCAGGTTTCCTTTCCCTTTTTGCTGCTCTGGGGAATGAACCAAAACACACCTGGTGTTGCAAAATATGGGGAATCCTTATGCAGTCTGGGGGACGCGGCAGCGCTATTCAGGGGGTTTCGAAAGGAGAAGGGTAATGGAGGGGGGGATGAAGGGGGGGAAGAGAAGACCGACCACGGGGCAAGATGTGCATCCGTGGGACCCGCGGGTTCTTTTGGACGAGGGTCATGACTTCATAGATTATGTCTTTTTCTCTTTTGTCTGGACTTTTCCACAGGTTTTCGGGTTGTGGTATTATGGAGTTGCGGTTATAGCGAGATGGTTGCCGTAGCACTGCTCTCGCAGGGAATAATGTTTAAATTATTGGATAGATTAAAAGTATGAAATCAGCAACATTTTTATTGTTTTCAACTTCACTTTTCGTGCCCTTGTTTACTCTGCTAGTCATGGGGGGGCTTCCCAGCCCCAAGCCTCCCGATGCTTCCCGCTGTTATCTCCTGATGGCTGATATGCTGTCGTACGAAGGCGCGGGGGTCAACAGAAAGAAGGGGGGAAAGAAGGGGATTATGCGGACTGACTCCCCGGGCTTTGGTAAGGTACGTGGGTAGGTAGCCCAAAGGGAACAGCTGGAAGTAAGGCAAGGTACGTAGGTACTCGCGATTGCGCACTTTTGGCTCAAACGCGAAATGAGACAGATTGCGGGGGACATCGTCCTAGGATGTGTTTATCCGGGGGAGGAGGAGGAGGCTTCCAAGGGTTAATTCTGTATCTGTGCTCTGTTGATGGGCGCAGAAGTCGTCTGGGGAGATAATGGGTGAGATAAAGACAGATACTAGATGGATGGGGTCATAGATAGACGCCTAGTACTAGAAGCTTGGCTTGGGTGAGCGAGCCCATCCATGTTCAACACACCTGCTTTTACCTGCCCAAGCAGGGAAGTAAGGGTCAGTGATCTAGTAGCTGCAGATTGCATGTGCGCTGATCCCGATGATGTCCAGACATCCATCCAAAGGTCTTTTCCGTAGGGCGACGGCTCAGCGCTAAGATGGTTTTATCTCCTCTGGGGATGGAGGGGGGGAAGGGTAGGGAACCTTGGAATCAGGCTAGATTGCCTTTTTTTCCCTCCCCGGTGTGTGTGTGTGTGTGATCTGGGAATTGGTTCTGTTTGGCTCGCTTGGGATGGAATGCAATGGAAGAGCGAGAAGTAATGCTGTGTGCTTAGTCGTTGGTGGGTGGCAATACAAATACTGTGTGCCTTTTTGCAGATATGGGGAAAAGATTCTACATGATTTGCCCGGGGGATCTTGGTTGTGATACGAGCTCGTTATCATTCTGTTGTAACTCTGATTGTGGCTCTACTGCTACGATAGAGGGAGGGCACATGCCCGGTGCCTTTTCCCTGTGATTCTGACACCTGATGCCTTGTGGAAGATGGGCTGTTGAAAAAGAAGGCATGACGGCCTTTTGATACGAGAAAGACGGGGGCCTTTGTGTGTGATGCCGATGCTCGCTTTGGTGGCCTCAGGAGTGGTACCAAAATTCCGTTGCGCAATGGTGCTATGAATAGCTGTCGCGAGAGCCGCTCTGCTGCTGATCTTTGGGGGGGAATCCGCCAAGTCTGGGGACCCCGTGTGTGCGACTCCGTACAGGCTGTGTGAGACTGCGCCATGCGGCTCGGGAATCCGCACTACTAAACAGCATCACCGAAACCTGAAGGATCGCTGGGTTTATCCCGTTTTGCGAGTGGGAGCACACGTAATGGCCTCCATAGGCCGTGGCTATCTTGGATTGTGGAAGCGACATACGTACGCTTTTGTCCTTGCACGATAATATTACCACTGCTGCGTCGAGTGTTTCATCTTCCTCATGATTCCCAATCTCACAAGTATACAGGGCCAGCGGCATGTGGACAGTTCCTGCCCCGGTTTGAACCCGGTTTCCCCCACATAAAACGACGACGACGCCTGGTGGACGCCCGTCAGTTGTCGTACACTCTCTTCTTTTCCTCTTCTTTTTCAGGGTATTCGGCATGGCATAGCCCCGTCCATGCGTCCTCTGAGCAGAACAGGGATATCCGTTCGAGTTAGTAATTAACTACGGCTGGGCTCAAACTGGCCATGCCAGGAAGCGTTTGTTGGGCATTTCTTGAAGCTGTTTGTCACGCATAATACCCAAGTACCAAGCCAAGAGACATCATGGACGGGATCGAGATCACGTCAGCGACCCTTGCGAGGCTAGCTGCTGTCTCGGACAATTGCCAAACACCAGACAAAGAGAATGATTCATATTAGGTAGTAATTGCAGGTCGCCGTCGTTGTGGATATGACGTGTTTCGCTCTGCAGAGCACGCGCGTTGCCCTATGGAGCTGATGTGATGGCGGGTGATCTGATCAACAGACGATGGCGGTGTTTACGCTTACCCCTATCGAGCACGTCGCAACATATACTGTTGATACTGTTGATACTGATACTGTCTTGAGGTCACAGAGTATTCATGCTGTAAAATTGCCCAGCAGTTAACGTAGTGGTGATGTCTTGAGCCGAGATCGGCCACCGCAGGAATGATGAAATGCTGTGCCTCACCTTCGTTACCCTATTATTAACGACACGTACGCAGCCATGTAATGTACAAGCAGGTAATAAGGGGCAAAGCATGCACCTTCATGCAGTCTTTTACGTACGGTAAATGAAGCAAACAACAAACGCAGTGCCTTTCTGCCCGTCCTGCCGTGTGATACGTAAAAAATGGCGAGCGAGGGGTGATGTGGCTTGCATGAAGCTTCGTTTCTGTTACAGACGCCTGCAAGCTGAGACGCGGCAGGATTTTCTTCTCATTCTTTGCTTCCTTCTCTGCTTTTGCCTTTTCACTTTTTTGTACGCATAATCATCATCTTCACCGCTTCTATACGTCTGACGAATTAGATGGCTTATGAGTCACACAAGACACGGACACACATACACGCAAGTTCGCCTAGCGAGAATGTGTGTGTGTGTCCCTTTGGGTTGTGTATTGTGTGTTAAGTTGTTGTGAAAGTGAGTGAGTGTGAGTTGAAATGCACCAATACGCGCGAGGCTTTCTCGGAATGTGCCTGTTTTACCCGCAGCGCCTCAAAAAAACTTTGCCAACCTACTTTACGGCCTGCGAGATGATGTGCCAAAAGAAGGTTTGAGTTTTCTCCTGGCGGCTTTTTGATGAAGCGCTCGTCGTCTTGTTATGGACACCATACCGATGAGATTATCCGCAAGAGAGCCTTCTTTCCGTTTGAGGTTTGTTTGCCTTTTTCTGAAACATGAATCCCACGTGAGTTATTACCCGAGGAGAATGTCCTGGATGCATTGACTTGTGTCTGTAAGTTTGGCACATGGCGTGTGGGAAACAGGATGCCATGTGAACTACAGAAATCTGCGGTCGTTGCATCTGCAGGGCCCTTGACATGGCCGCGTCATTGGGCGCTTCCATCCTGTTAATCATTGTTAATGCTAATGCTCATCCTCCTGATTTTGAGCTTGCACGTCTGCCTCTCACATCCTTCGTGGCTTACTTGGTAATAGTAACTCAACCAACTGCTTTCAAATGCTGTCTGCCATCACTTCAACTTGGGTGCGGATTTTAGCCATCTCAGGGAGTGTGGGGGCGGGGTTGGGATTGCCGGCACAGCAGTACTTTGTAACCGTACTACTGGAAGGAGAGGCGTCAGCAGACTGGCTGTCGTGATGTAAGCCTCAGATCGCGAAAAGACGCATTGCTCGGTAAGTCGCAAAAAGCTGTCAAGTGTTTGTGATTACAGGCTATTTGAACAGGGCGGCACGGCAATCGTTTCTTTCTTCCAGCCGTCGGGTATTGGATGCATCTTACAGGAGGCAGGCAGTTATCTGCAGTATCTGCAGTGCCTAAGAACCTTAAAAACGCTGCCTGTAGACCAGATAAACAACCCCTCGAATCAGCAGGTCAAGCAAGCAAGATAGGAGCATTTCCTGCGTCCACATGCTGAGCCTCCAATGGAACAACTCCGGACAAAGGCCTAGATATCATCCAATGCATAGTATTTACTCTCTGCATGAGCTTCATGTGCATCTCCTTTGATTGATTAGCACCGGTTCAAAGATGGACCCAAGGGGCTGGCTGGGGAAACATGGAAGGCGGGGAAATACAAGCCCATCAATTCTGCCTATCTTGCGTCTATCTTGCCGATAAAGCAAGGCAAGGCAACTTCAATCTGACCCTTGTAATGCCTGATTCGACATCTTCCGGGGTCCTCGGCCTCGTCCACATCCCTCCCCTCGCCGCAAGCTCGCCTTTCCGTCCCTTATCTCGCTCTTTACCGGCGATACTCGCGGGATAATTCGTGGCACAGCTACTCCGTACTTCGCGCCCGAAAAGACATCGACAAGCTCAGAACGTGCCCCCCCGGCCTCATCTCTCGGTTCCCCAATCCGAGCATGTCGGCAAAAAGCCTCACCGAACCTCGACTCATGCATGCCGGCCCAGTGATGCCTATTCCAAGGAGATTCACTCGGCTCGGGCGAGGGCGGCAAGCAGGGACGCTCTTGGCCCCAGCTTTTGCCTCTATTCGGTGCTAGAGCAGAGGCTCGAGTCGATGATGAAATTGCAACCCCCACGAAACCCTTGGCTCTGAACGTGCCAATGCATCGCTCGAGGTCCTCTTTCGCTGGGGATCGTCTGTGGGGTGATTTAGTGCTACCTACGAGACATCAAAGAGAGCAAAAAAAGCCCATGGAGGCGCCTCGAACCCCGACAGACAGCTGGCCGATATAGGAAAAGGGCCAGATGGGCGATGCTGGGGGCCCTGAAAAAGTAGCGCCTATCTTGTCAGCTGAACATGCAGCGTAGGAATCACAAATCATCGACCCGGACCGCAGCTTGACGGCGAGACAGAGTCATTGCCATCGCCGATGCTGCGGGTGGATCGAACCAAGCAGGAAGCGCTTGCGGCGCCAAGTTCGCGAAGCTGAGACAAAATTGTCTCTGGTGCCAATTTCTGCTGTCCTTTTGCGGCTTTCGGTGCTTTGGTGAGAGGGATCTTTTGGTCAAGATGGATACATTTGGAATATGAAGTGCTTGTTGCACCAGGAGCCGCGCCTTGAAAGCACCTTGATGATTCCAAGGACGTGGGCTCTTGCTACGGATATTGAGGCTCATCTCCAGATTTTCCCGCAACCCCACATGCACTCGCTCCCCAGGAACATCAAGAACCTCCCCTCGTTCATCAACGCACAATTCCTGGTCCAACCAGGCAGGAGATCGTATTGCAATGCAGACTGCACAGCGGCAAGATGGCCGCACTATTACGGACACCAATGACCTGTTACGTTGCAACGCCAAGCTGGCCACAGATTGAAGCAAGGCAGGCAAGAAGGGAAAAATTTTCATCGCCTTGAATCGTTCAGTCCAGGGCAAGGCAAACGTATCCGGAGTTGCGAGCGGATTTCCAGACAAGGCCTGCCGCACCAGCCAATCAATCGCCCGACCTGCCCAGGGCGTCAACGCATCAATCCAAACGCCCCTTGGCCCTGCCTGCTCTGATACGGCCTTGGTCTTGTCTGCGCACGGCGACTCATACATACGAGCGGGGGTTCGATATATTGAACCGAGTTGTTGAAGGTATCGTGACTGCTTGGTACCAGTTCTACGCAGTTGAGCTTCATTTTCCAGCCTCACTTGGCGGTGTTGGCGTTGAGTTGGACTGACGTGGGTCAAGAGCGCGAATTCGACGATGCTGCTCTACCTCACAGTACCTACCATGCAAAGTTCCGTATGCATGTCCCTGTTTGTCGTGCCAGCACATAGCCCGCCAGTTGTTCGGTCCGGACATGCGCATATGTGCTCAACTCCGGGACCGCCTGCGGCTGCTTGCTGCTCCTCGATGCCGGCTGGTGGCTCATCGCTTGAGCTCCGTCTAGTATCCGCAACTCGAACACTTCGTACTCGGTCGGGCCTGGATGCCGAATGAATGACTCGGGGAGGGTCGCTGCAGCACTGGGCCTTGCGCAATGTCATGCAAGGCACCGCAGTGGGAGCCCCGCGATAGACACCGCAATTTCACCCTTCTCCCCCATCTCCGTTTATCAAGCACACACGTCTGGAGTACAGTAGTACTACATGTAAGTATGCGGCCCCGGCATAGCCTCTACGTACCATGTGGTTGAAGCTCATCGTACGAGATCCGCTGGCAGCTCGCGGCAACGCAAATTGCTCCCCAACAAACATCCAGATGAACAGCCGCAAGCGACACGCCGGCGGGAGCCACCACCAATATCAGATCATGGCTGTTATCATACAACACCTGCAGCAAACGCAAATTGATCCGAATACAACCCCGTCGCCAATGCCGCCGTTTGATTTGCCGGCCTGCCGGGCGACGTGTGTGTATCGGCACACTGCCAGCACGATCGGATGATAGCGATCCACATAAATGATCATCTCACGCCGCATGCACAATATATTAAGTCCCAGGTCGGTTCCGTTCCGTTCGGCTGCAGCACGAAGTACCTGGAGGGCTACATGTACATTCGAGGACGAGTTTGCAAGATGGCCCATGGCCAAATGCTGCCACGCGCCATGCATATGTACTCCGTGCTCCGTACATATGTACGACCATGTGCGCGCATGGAGTATGTGTGTCTCTTCCTCTTCTGCCTGCTTGCCCGCTCCACCGCTTCCTTGATTTGCTTTGCTTCTGCTTTCCGCCGCTGCCCATGGCCTCGAGCAAACGAGTGGAATGCTCCGTGGAAAACGCCAAAGGAACTGTGATACACAGGGGAGGGGTAATGGCATGCCACATCTCCAATACGCCGAAATCGAGCCATCGTGGGGCTCAAGGCGAGCATGAACGAGCCTCAGCCGCCTGCAACGCAGCAAGGGGCATGGTAGGGGGCATTGGAGCACCAGCAGCTGTTCCGAGACCCCTTGCCCACAACATCTGCGCAATGAGTAGTAGTAATCATACTGCGGACTTTGTAGTTTGTAGAACGACCTTCTTGTCTGCCTGCTTTCGCCAGAGCGGACTGCAACAGCATTGGACCGGGGTATGTAGTACCTGTCGAATATTCTCTCCGTGATAGTAAATCCCGCTCCTCTCTCGATTCAGTCCGCAGCAGAAAACCTGAATCGCATTCCCCCACAACCCCTCGTCTCTCCCCCGGCCGTTCAGGGATAGCAGCAGCTGCAAGAGCACGGAGTCTACGGAGTAGAAGTCTGGAGTAGCACCAGCCAAGCAATTTGCATGCCCAAAGCCAAAAGCTACAGTATGAACGGCGAATCTCACCCTGCAGCATACATACATACGTGATAACATACCGTAACAACCTGTGCCGTGCAAGTTTGAATGGAACACATCCCCAAGCAGCCGTCGACTAAACTCGAAAGACGTCTAGCTCGCAAGCTAAATAATACTACATCACCACCTTCTCGGATAATTTACCGAGCCGGGAGAGCTCAAGCTCAAGCTATCTCAGGCATGTGAAAGAGAGCATCATACAACTACTAGTGTTTACTTGGCATCTCGGAGCCGCAATCTTGCAGATATGTACCTACGCAAAGGCAATCTTCGGCACAAAGGTAGTAGTACCGAGATTCCTTCCGTTCAACCGATTGATGCAGCAAGTAATCTGTAGAAAGAGGGCCCGATGGCGCAAGAAAATGGGGTTGCAGATTGAGGCTTGAACTCATTCTCTTGGAGAAAGAGATATTATGGGCGATACTCCGTGTAGATTGAAGAGAGCGGGAGAAAAAGCTGGACAGTGCCATCGGACCGAGAGATCGTTGCGGTTCGGCTGATTTAACCGACTGGAAACCTGATTGTTGACCTTATCGGCTCGGTAATCAGGACTTCCGACCCCAATGATCCAAGGTTTGCGATATTGGATCGATATGCCCCCGTTCGTATGTCTCGAGTATCTGAGTTATTTCTCTTGATCCTCTGCTGGTGTTCATTCGAGTGGCTGCCGCGATATCCCATGTTGTTTGCCTGTTGGAGATGCAAACTGCAAGCAACTGCGAATTGAATGCCTCTGGAATAGTCCGGTCTCGCCAGCTCAAGTTCTGTCCTTTGTGATATCAATTGGCGTAGATATGTAAGCATCCACTCTCTGCGTACGGAATACTTCGTAGATAAGAGAAGCATCTGTAGCCAGCTGAGGTCCAACCCGATAGTTCCCGATGCCAGAGATATGCCTTTCACCCGCAACTAGTATCAAGGAAATCCGGGGCTTGCATAAGCTTGTGAGGCCAGTAGCTGACATTGCTCTCAAGAAAAAGAGATAAACATGTGAAAGGCTTGCCTTGCGAACCGCTTTGAGCCGTCTCCAAACCGAATCACGTCAATTGCGTGCCCTATGAGCATCAGCAGCATGTGAGATAACTCTGGCGCCGCTGATCTATCAATCAGTCGAAATCCCAGGCCAAGCTTCTCTCTGCCTTATACGAGACGCTGTTTGGCTATAGGATACTGTTTCGAACTCTTTGTGAACATTGAATTGAACCTCGATTCTTCGTCGTACCTTGTACCCGTGTTTGTAGCTGCTTGGATAACCATGCAGTCAGGTAAGCCCATACGCAAGAACCTCAAAGCAGTCCGTCGAAGACCTCATTATCCGAAGCAGCGGGGTTTCAAGGATCCCCTGACCACGGCTATTCTCTCCTTTTCGATCGGGCGATTTCAATACATGTGAATTGGGAGGGTGAATGTAGTGTACATGCTTCTTCTCGGACGGTTGTACCTTGAAAATGCCTTGACAGATTCAAGCGGAAAGCTTTCCCCGGCGTCGTATCGTCTGTGAGCGTGCCTTGGAAGTTGGCAACAGATGGACATGGGTTGTTACAACCTCTGCAGAGGAGCAAAAGGACAATGAAATTTGGGTGCGAACCCTTGAGGGGCCGGCGAAGAGTAGCTGCCTGCGCCGAGACCGAGATATCGCCTTATTGGAACTTTCGTCTGGCCATGCTGCATTATTATTTCGCAATGTAACAGCGGACGTTGCTTTCCAGCTCGTGCTCATTGTGTATATGAGCTGCCCTGGCCAAAATGCTCACTGCGAGCCACACTCTCGCCTCGTTTCTGCAAACGTGTAAAAAGGGGGCGGTTGGGAGAGAAGAAGCAGGAGGAGGGGCAATCTTCAAGATAAGCATGCATGCGCATGGCTGGTCTTTCGGACGGCTGTGCGTTCCAATTAGGCCCTCCATATCTTCCTGCTGCAGCTGATACTGCTGCTGCCATCTCACTTACATTGGTATTTGTAACTCAAAGGCAATAACGGCCCACATGAGCTCTGTGGTTTGATGCGTCGTCGTAGGGTGTAGGGTTCCAGTGCACCTCGAGATGAAAAGGGCGAAACACACAGACCAGTGAGATTGCCTTGTTTGATTGGCCTGCAGCGCAGATTGCATGAGAGATGAGCAGGGGGTTTGAGGAGGTGGATGGGTGTTGCCCGTGGGGCCCCGGGTTCTGTCGTCCTTGCAGATGTGTAGGGAATCGATGGTGTTTGCCGCATTGATGCCCATCTTGTCGGAAACGAGAAGGTGTGTAAGGCACCGCGCAGGATGGAGATGCATGATCGGGAATTCAAAAGGGGTACGAAGAGAGAACTGGAACGAAACGCGTGCAGAAAGGGCCGACAACCGACAGAAAGACATATATTGTTATAATATGGCAATAAGGGGGAAGAAAAGATTGTCCACACAGCCAGCGACTCGGGGAATTGTCGACCCTCAGCAGAAGTGAATCATCCATCCTTCGTGCTTCACGATATGTAGTTGGCTCGGTTCATTTATGGTCGTCACTGTGGGATGGAATCATTATTGTTCTTCTGCTCTTCTCATTTCGGAGAATCCTGGCTATTCGTGACGCTTGATTGCAAATGCTCATTGTGGTTTCTCCTTCATTGGGCCTTGGCTTTTGACAACGGCCCCCAATCTGGTCGAGGGTTCATTTGGTATCGAACAAGTTTCTGCGTATCCCGCAATCGACCCAGTCGAGCGAGATCATCATCGAATACCAGCGTTTTCCGCAACTCGGCCTCGTTCGGGCTCGAAACCTGTTCGGTCGGCTCCTCCGCCTTCTCCTCGCTTTGAGGCTTTCCTTCTGTCGCGACGTCTTCCATTTTGCTGTCAGCCTCCTTCGATGCTTCATCTTCTCGACCAACTAGTCCGGCATCGTGTAGAATCTTCCAACCGGGCATCAGCGGTGTGAACTTGGACGCTTTGATGGGAGACTTTTGGCGAATCCACTCCGTAATGATCCACCAAATCGTAGACCAAGGTGCATCTGTCTTCACGCTTCCTGGTCGACAGTGACTTCGCCCGACTTGGTAGCCTAGATGTATCAAAGCGCCGCGGAACATGTCATCGCTCGGAGCAGCGCAGGATACCACAGTTGCCAGCTTGGATGGAATCACGAAGAAGGGGCAATGGTCGATCTCTGTATGCTGAGCATCCTTGGGATCCACAGTGGGATCAACCTCTGGTCCCGGGATGATCTCTTCCAGCGCCGTCCGGAGCATGCCCTCAAGCCTGGGAAGAGTACCGTAGACCTCTGGCGAGGCGTTGGGAATCTGATCGAGCAGCCTCTGAATGAAATCCGCCGAGTGGATGCGGCCTCCGTACATGGGGCCGTTGACATGCATCTTGTGGCCACAATGTTGGCAATGTCTATCCACGACCGGCCCGGCTGCCATGCCGTGCTTATAGAACGATCCACTGCCCTTCTTGTTGGGGGTCGGCCTGCTTCTCAGGAGGTACTGGGTCTCAAAGGCCGAGCAGCCGTGATCGCAGCTGTATACTATCATGGTTTTGGATCCCAGGAATTTCACGGCTTGTGGTGATTTGGTGACCTTGACGAAGACTTTGGTGTAGAAATCGATGGATAGAGACAGCAAAGGCTCAATAGCCAGACCATACCGGGCGCCGGACGTCGCAATAGCATTCAGGATCAGCCGCAATCCTGCCTCGTGAGAATGCATCCCTTTGATAGGAGTGCCGCCGTACAGCGCAAATGTCTTTTCGCAGTAGCTATGTCCCGCCCAGACAGCACTATCAGTGCATGTGATGCAGAGCAGGCCCCCATCATCCCTGACGGATTGTAGCGCAGCGTCGAAAAACGGTGCTGCCGTGCCGTATGGATCCAGGTCGATCACGTCAAACTTGTGAGACTTGGTCGGATTGCCATGGCGGTCTCTCTTCGACAGGTCGTCGGCAATTGCGCGGTACATGTGTGCAAGGGCGTCTTCGTTCGTTACTGTGATAACATCATCGAGGCCGTTGTGGTTCACGTTCAGCTTGATAGATTCGGCCGCGGATTTGGAGAGATCGTTTGCGTTTATAGAAGTGACAAAGGGCAGCTCATGTCCGTATCGCAACGCTCTCAGTCCAGATGCCGATAGAGCGTCCAGTATTCTGAAGCTCGGCTTGTGGGCTTTCTGCTCTTCTGAAGGTTCAGCAGCAGGCTCTAAAGCTGGCTTCGCAGTCGCCTCTGACTCGGCCGAAGGGTTGCCGTCATCTTTCTCCTCTCGCTTTCTCTTCTTGCCTTGCTTATTCGATTTTGCCAGAATCTTCTCCTTTCTCTTCGCTAGGATCTCCTCCCCGTATGTCTTGATGGCAAGAACAGACAGGTCTCGGTTGTACTGCTGGATCGGATTGTAAAACACCTGCTGCACCTCTCCCCTGTCCTCTCCAATCTTAGCACCCTGGGGCACCAAGATGGTCGCCTTGCCTTCCTTCACCACGCGGAACTGCTTTCCATCCTTCTCCACGGTTTCGACTTCGACGGTGCCTGCCATTGGCGCAACTGAAGAACAAAGATTCCTTCCCACGATAGACCGCGTGTGGACGATTGGAGCGATTCCGCCGCAGGAACTGGCAGGCCTCAGTGTTCCTGTAAGACGCAGCAGGTGCTTCAGTGCAAAAGCGCCGCGGAACATGCAAATATCCAGGCGCACTTTTCGAGCACAATTGTTTGGTAGAAGATTAAAGTCTGAGAAAAGCTTCATGTCGGGAAGCTCCAAACCCATAATTTTTTCGAATTCTGCCGCTTGCTGCAAAGGCGGTGAAATTGGTCAGCCCCACCATCGTTAACCTCCAAGAGCTGATCCATCTACATGTATTAACCCATCGCGAATTGCATCATTCTCTGAAATCCAATCTTTGATAGGAAATACACATTTTTGCCAGCCGCTGGTTTTAAAATATATATGCAGTGCTCAAAGAGTAGCTACAATGGATACATACCTAATGTCGGCTCAAAGATAAAGATTCAGTTGCTCGTGGATCTTCTGGTTTGCAAGCAATTAGGTACCCCACGATGGAGTTGCATGTGACATTCTCAGTGTGCAGGTCTGCAGCAACGGTCCCCGTATCAGTGGTGCGCTCCTTTCCGTGCATATGAGACGCTCATTCTTTCAAGTCAACTCTGCATTCTCAGAAGCGGTCCGTCCTGCCAGCCGTCTCCAGATGCCCTTCTCTACTGTTTCTCTCAACAGCCTTGTTGATCACGCCCGGTTGCCCAAAGAACAAGCTGCCCTTGTGTCTTCGCGTATTCTCGGCTTGCCATGTGCTCAAGCATCTCCATGCGCAGGCACTCCTTGCCAGGACCCTAACCGCAGGTAAGAGCTTTTGTGATGTTGAAGTAGAACATGCTCTTTGGCTCCTTCTTCCCCTCCAACGAACGAAGAGTCAGCCCAGGCCGTCGATTGACCCCCTTCTTCTCCCCCCAGACCGTGATTCTTCACCTTTCTCTTCTTTTGCTTATTCTCTTCACCTCACGAGCAGACGCTGGTGATCTTCCCATATTGTGTTGGTCACATTTCCATCTCCAGCCCGTCAATCCGCAGCTCCCCATCACTGTCGCTATTGCTCCTCGTCTACATTTCCCATTGCCCATCATGTCCAAGTCATCAAAGGGCAATCCCAACACTGAAGCTCCCACGCTTCCACCTTTCTCTGTTGGAAACAGCAATAACAACAACAATTATCCCGCGCCTCCTGCAGGTTCTCATGGAGAGCCTCCCAAGCAAGCACCGGCTCCCACAGGACCTCCCAACGTCCCTCCAGCACCTAGACCTCCCAAAGTCCTAGAGGCTCATCAGCAGCACCAGACACCTCGTCACAGGTTTCTGACAACTCATGAATGGGGAATCGTTGCCCACGGCATAGGCGGCATCCGGGATCGGGAACAGCATACACCAATCCATCCAACCAGCTGGATCTGGCCACCCAAAGGCATGCCTCGCGGGCTGTACAAGGACACCGTGACTCAGCGTACCAAGTTCTTCTATTACTACCATGCGTCTAGTGGCATCAGGTGGATCTTGATGCTGTTGCAGCTCTTCATCGGAGCGACGCTGACGTCCCTCGGCTCCATGTCGTTTACCCAAGGTACCCCCATCACTATTCTAGGCGCTGCGAACACCATCATTGCGGGACTCCTTGCCTTCCTCCAGAACAGCGGACTGCCCGACCGATATCGATATGACAAGTCCGAGTTCGAAGCCCTGGAAGACCACATCAAAGAGATTCTTGACTCCGGTATTGCCCCCGCGGATCAGGCTACTGACCAAATCCTCGCCGAGTGTTTCGATCTTTACCAAGATGCCAAGGCAACGGTATCTGCGAACTTACCAGCCAACTACATGTCTCGAATTGCCCAGCAGACAGGTCAACGATCTGGTGCTTTGATGCAAGCGGGCGCTCCGCCCATGTCAAAGCCATTGGCTCTGACACTTGGTGGCGGAGATGGTAATGCCAGTTTGGCCAGTGGAAAATAATGTCTAATGAATTGTTCATGTTCGGCGCGGTCTATTCAAGCAGGCTGCTGCCTTTCGATTTTGCTCCCGATCCAGATTGTGTTCGACATTTATCACCTCCATCTTTCGAAGATGAATGAAACGGCTTATATCATTTCGACGTGCTCTTCTTCGACTCAAATCATCACTACCATTTTGCGAGATAAATTGGCCGCGCATGTTGCAGGGAGAGACTTGGAGCAGATCAAGGGCCTTTAATAGGAACGGAAAGACGACGGTCACGACTGGTTCTCCATCTTCGTTGTTGGTCAATATGGCGCTGGGGTTGTGGATTGCTTTGTGTATTTAGACGGCGAGCATTTTTCAGCATGTTCCTCCGACGGACATCGTCGTTGAGTTAATTGGTGGTGTAATTTATGTGGTCAAGCTGCAGACAAATTTATCGACTAGCATATGTTTCCTCTCTGCGTCCTGATTGTTCTTGGAAATGTCTGAATGTCCTTGAAATGGCCTTGCGTTTAGCAGCCGCCTTGACAAAAAACCTTTGAGTGTTTTCATTTGCATGTATTCGTTTGCATGTCAGTTGGGGTTTATGCTTTCCCAATCTTCTTTTGTGATTTCGTAGTATATCTCGTTCTTGTCCTTGTCAAACTCCGCTGGCCTCGCGACCCCTTTGCCTTCGAGCCCAAGTCTCTCGTGCAGGAGCTTTACCATCGGACCATTATCCTCCAACGTCGTAATGGTAACCAGATCGAGCTGAGGACCTCCCTCGCTCGCAGGTGTGAAAGCCCAGTTTATAGCCATCTTCATAGCCTCAACGCCATAACCTTGTCGCTTGTATGCGGGATCCAGCATGACGCCCACATCGCCAGCCCGGATCTTCCGTCCATCTCGCTCCCAGTCTTTGATCGCCCCAAACCCTCCCAGGCCAATGACCTTTTCAACAGGCTGGCCGTTTTCATCCTCTGATCTGAGCACCAGAATCATATTGACGCGGCTCGGTCCACTAACGACATTTCCTTGGTCGTCGAGGATGGTGGGCTGGCTTGCTTCTTCGCGCATACGATTGATGATTGCTCCCGCAGTTGCGACATCAACGTCTTTCGCGTTGGGATCGGTCTTGTTTGAGGGCGCGGAGAGGATGTGTGAGAGGGAGGGGGCGTCGGACGGGAGGATTGTGCGGAGGGTGAGGAGGGGGTTTGTCGGGGAGGGGATGGTTGTGTTGAGGTGAGAGATTTGGCGGGACATGGTTGCTGTTGCTGCTGCTGCTGTCGTTGTTGTTATTTGATTGTGTGTGTGAGGAGCAAATGTCTGCTATGGCGATTGGGAGTTGTCTTGAGCATGGGATGATGAGAAGATGTTTGGGAGGTTGAGGCCAATTTACAGCATGTCGTCGGTTTATATCCTGGGGTTGTTGGAGGTCTATAAATTGGGGTTTGATCCTTCGGGCATTTCTCACTTGCTACACATGCAGCTAATATAATTTAACCCACCTGTCCCGGAAGTAATGCTCAGAATTCTCCGGGGATGGTCTCTGTTATCCTGCATAGTGACTCAGATAGACGGTCTTGTTCAAAAGTTCGTCTCGCTTCGAGCGTCAACTTCCCAAATGGGTAATAAAGCTTGGATAAGAAACCGCTTCATGAGTCACCAGAAGCAGACACCCTGAGCTCGAGCTCTCAAGGTAGCGCCACAAAGCTACCGAAGAGAATCAAAATGAATCGTGGTTATGGGCAGCAGCGCTGAAGACATCATTTGCTTTATTATGAGAAGTTCAATCCAAGAAAAGCAACGCATAGTAATTACACATATTGTAGAACTTCATAATCCGGAGTAAGTATAAGGTAGGTATGCTTCCATCACGCTTAAAGAAAAGCCGTACACCAAATGTCCCATTGCCGGTAACCTTCGTTTAATCTTGACATCGTCAATCTATCAACGCTCACTCGCTCATTCTATGAATCCGCCGACAAAGGCGCTGGGCTGGCTCTTTTAGCCGTGCTCCGTAGCGTGCGTCCACTGCTGCCCTCCGGCTCCGCCTCCGCCGTCGGACTGCTCTCCCTGGGCAGCCGTGATGGGATATCGGGCGTCACGGATCTGGAGTCGGTGCCCGGCCTCTTTACCTTGGACATCGATGACGCCGGCTTCCGGCGCTTCTCCGCAGAAGGAGGCTGCTTGCGTGGTGTTTGTCCGTCGCTGTCAAAGACCATCGGTGTCTGGCTTCTTGACGAGCTCACCGATGAGCGGCGCACGCTGCTGTTCCTACGCTTGCGATCTGCGCTCGCTAGACGGTGATGCGGCAGTTTGGGCGGGTTGTGACGAACGCGAGGCTGCGAATGCTGGCGCCAAGGGAGCCACCAGAGCCAGCCGTATTGCTCCTTTGCGACCTTCCTGTCGTGCTCCTTGACCTTTTGCCGGAGCAGCCGCCGGCGCTCATTCTCCCTCTCCCAGTATTCGGTGCGATAGAGCTCCCAATTTTCGCGGAATGTAGGCGAGAACGGCTTGGGTAGAAGCAGTAATTTGACATAATCCCCACCAGGGGCCAAGTCCTCCTCATGACCGCCTAGCTCGTCGTCATCGGGAGGGAGAACAAGAGTCGGGTGGTTATCGCTCGTGAGCTGCAGCTCCTTTTCGACTTGGCGCAACAGGTGCGGCTCGACAAGACGGTACGACGAACTGGCGGTATGCGAGAAGAGGCCGTACGTCAGAAAGAAGGCAATGGTCGACAGCGCCTCGGCCCACCACGTCTGCCTGATGATGACGAGCTTGCAGTTGAAGCCGCGCAGGCCTCGGTTGGAGATGGCGAACCAGCGGCGCGGCCACCGAATGCCGCGATCCCAGATGCCCGTCGCCCAGACGAGAGCGGCGGTGATGATGCCGCCCATGAAGCAAACCTTTTGCGCGCCCTCGACCGCCCAGTATATCGAGCCTCCAACGCCACGCCCATCCTCGCGCGGCGCAAAGTATAGCTTGTACCCAAAGAATGCGACCCAGAGCGTCAGGATGGCGAGGAAGAACGTGTGGTGCCGCTTGCGAGCGCGCAACTCGAGGAACTGGGCGCGCAGCGAGGCTTCGAGGATCAAGAGGTTTAGGTAGATCATGGACGGGGAGCTCGGCGTGTGATGCAGCGGATCGCCAGGCTTGCCCGACGGCGGGAACGGGCCTGTGCCAGAGCCGGGTTTGACATCGCTGGCGGCGGCGGCTGTGGCAGCGGAAGCGGAAGTCGGGGCTCCCTTGACGATAGAGTCGAGGTCCTCGGCCATATTTTGCGTGCAGCCGCCGGCTCGGGCTCAAAGGAGGCTGGCGGCTTAGGGGGCTCGTGAGAGCGGCTCGAATCTCGCAGGATGGTCGCCTTGTGTTGAGTAAAATGGAATGGAGTAGATGGGATGCAGAGATGGAACCAGAAGCTTTGGTCAGCCTCGCTGGGAGAGTTGCATGGTTGGTGGGATGATTGGCCGATAGCAAGGTACCTCGTACTCGTACATTGCCCCGTGGGGCTGGCCCGCTTGATCTCGCCATTCCGGCGCTTTCATTGGCTGACTCGCGTCTGGCCAGCGGAAAGTCATCGCAAGGCTGCCAGTTGCCGACTGACAGCTGGTGAGCAACTGCCTTGGGAGCAACTGCCTGCCTTCATGTCGCCTGTGATTATGGTCGAGCGAATTGTTCGGAATAACATGGCACCGGATCTCGTGAACATTCTGTCTACAGAAGAGGTCGGGGCCTCAAGAAGAGTTTCCAAACCTTCATCTTCAACTGACATCGCCAGTCCGACCCGACTCCCCACTTACACGAACACGGCGCTACCGCCGTTACGACGATGACGTCTCTGCCAGAAGTGAACGGCGATCATCTCAGACTTGCACTAGAGTGTGGTATCTGCTCTGAACGAATCGTGCGACATGAGATAGCGGTAGCGAGTAGGATCATCTTGATTTCATACTTCCCTTTTGCCTCTTGCTCCCATTGTTGGCTAACGTGGCCCATCTTTACAGTTTACACTTATGACAGAGATGAGCCAACCGATTGCGAGTGTACGCGGCCGTTTTCGTTTCCGTCGCCATTCCTCCCCACCGTTGATGGCTTCACATTGTGTTGCTATCCAAACTGCAGCAGGTGCCTCGCGTCACCCGAGTGTTCTCTGATACATAGCGGCTGTTACGCCGTCTTTAGGGCGGCAAGTGGTACCAAGAATACCAAAGCGTTACATCGACGCCTTTGGCTATTCACGGCATGGAAAAGACCCTGGACGGTGGCACGGCCTTTGTGCCTGCCCATCCGCAGCATGCATGCAGCTGTTCTCAAGCAAGCAACCGAATCACTCGGCTTGCCGAATCTTTTCAAGTTACCTGCCGAGTTGCTTGATCAAATTCATGACAACTCCAGAGGATATTTCTTCTGGAGGTGCGTATCAGCACTCAGGTTGGCATTGGATGAATCGGGAGATCTGGACGATGCGCTTGAAGTTCTTCGCCTCAACTCAATCGTTTCTTGGGAGCGTCATGGCCTGCTTAAGTTAGCGCGTTATGGGACACTGCCTCCAATCATCAGGATTACCATGGACGAAGATGGAATTAGCAAAGTGAAACGACTTCCTGCTATCCCATCCTACGACGGTGAGCATCATAAGCACTATGCCTATATAGTGGTTCATGAAGAGGTCATGAGCGAGGCAAACGCGCAGCTCTAGGTCAGTGTATGACGGTACTCTATGTCGATGCACCATTTAACTTACAACCTTCACAGAACGGCCGCCTGCGCCTCCAATTGCCCCGTGAAAATCCAACATTTGCCATATGGAATACCCCATGCCCGCCTTGCATGTTAGACGGGGATGCCCTCGGATACACGCGAGACTCTTTCTTCAGTGCAAGTCTTCCCTGGAATTTGTCTGGAGATCACCTCTACGCTATCGACATGGCTTCCATCACGGGTATAACCTTCTTCTACTCTCATGATGAATTGCTCGGCGTCCATCCCCACTGTTCCTCCGGAGACACCGCTTCGTCGACCTTCGAGCGCTTATCCTACAGGCTCAAGTCGCAGACTGTATGGATATACCTGCCAATTTCCAAAAGCGACCCGATAACTTCCCTTGGGATTATTGTGAGCGAGCGTCCTGCTTCAATCTTACGGAATCCCAAGATCGAGATACAGATATGTACAGGGACGCAGTTAACGGGGGTTACGGTCATTGGGTCACAACACACAGCCCCTGGCCCTGTGGAATGCTCATGGAAGTCCGCACCCATTACTCTCGTTTATGCAAAACCCCAAGAGCGACGTGGTGTGTGGCTATCCAGCTATGGCAGCAATCAATCTGCACTACTCGAGCTCCCTATCACACCTGTTATCCCTAAGCTAGGGGGAGAGACTGCATATTACTCTGAAGCACCCCTGGACAATGTGTCGTCAGCTGTTCTTTTTCTTGACGAGAAGAATATTTACTGCAGAGGCATTTTGTTCCGCTATCTTGACGGGTCATGTCGGGCCCTCGGGGAATGCCGTGTTCATATGGGTTCAAGCATAGGGGTGAATGGGCCACTCAACTTCTGTTTCCGCGGCGAAGCACCTTCAAGTAGAAGCAATACTGTCGAGGTTACATTCGAGCATACTGAAGACCACGAGAATCTTGGAGCCTGGAGTTGTTGCCCAATGAAGGGAACTGTGAACTTTTGGTGCTCGCCCAGTTTCGCATGTTTGCAAGTGGCGCCGCTGGACAATGAGGATGACGACTCGTCACCGGACAATTGGAGCAACGAGAGCGAAGAGAGCGACGAAGGCGATGAAGGCGAATTTGACTGACAATTCGGGTTGTGGTTGCATGTTCTCGAGGTTGCTCGCATGCTCTGATATCGACACATTGCTCATGACAATTTCATTCTTTCTCGTTCTCTCTGCCTCTGAATACGAACATCTTGATTGCGGCACCCTTCCACTCTAAAGGCGATGGCATGTTCATAAGTATGCGCAACGAGACATTACCCTGCTTCGCCCCGTGCGAGTGGCCATGGGGAACTAATCAGAAACGTCTAGGAGCTGCTCTTGATATTTATCAGGTATGACAGTGCCATATGTCTACATGCAGAATCGTCTAGCCAAGGAAGCAAGGATAGTGATGTTATCACAATCTGAATCCGAGCCCCCCACACACACACTACTAGCAACTAGTTTTATCATCCCGCTTTGAAGGCTTCCTTTTTAGGCAACTTTTAGACTCTGGAGATCTGGGGATGTGGGCCAGTTAATATGCCCGAATACCGCGTTCCACGTTCCTCCGGCCTTGGATCTCAAGCGTCTACAGAAGACGTAGCATCGGAAAATGATAGTATTATTGCCCGTATATTGACAAGTAGCTACTTAAAATCTTGCAAATTCATTACTGCGTATAGCCTTTCGTATAACATACTCGAGTTGTCCTTGAGCACCCTTTTTGTTTCCATGAATGTCCTTTATCGCTTGCCCGCGTGCTTCTTCTGCTTTGCAATCTCGAAGAAGAGACTTCCATCGTAGAGCTTCCGAATCTCCTCCTTCTTCATACGTCCATCCTCCGGCCAGAGAAGGATATACGTCGCGAGCCCTACACAAAACACACAAAGTCAGCTTCATATTCTCTCACTCAATCTCAGGGAAGAAGAACTGGTCAAGACGAACACTCAAGCGCTGCCGCCGTCGTGCCAAACGGATCGGCCACCACCCTCTGCCCCTTGAGCAGACTCCAAACGTCCCGCACGGTGACAAAGTCCTTGTCAGCGGCGTACTTGGAGAACATATCCTCAAACTTTTGGGGCACGAAGCGACCCTCGCTGTCGTACGTCCCGGTGTCGCTGCCGTGCTTGGTCTTGTGGATGTTCTTGAGGTAGATGCGGAAGAAGGGGTCGGGGAGGAGGCCGGAGACGGTCGGGTAGGAGAAGGGGAGGTGGATGATGACGGTGGCGAAGAGGGAGAGGAGGAGGTTCCAGCCTAGGCCGCGCAAGCCTCTGAATGTGTCCAGAGGCCAGATGATGCCGTCTTTGTCCTGCTTTTTGTTAAAAGACTGGTTCGCAATTGGAGGTGTAGGAAGCTCGTACTTGATCAAAGTAATCACAGTGCTGCTGCAGGACCGTCTGGTTCTGGTGCTCCTTTGCCCAATTGCCAGCCTGTGAGCCTTGTGGCTGCTCATATGTCGCGGCTACATTTGCTCTCGCGGTTCCTATTTCTGCCTGTCAGCTTTGATGATTTGATGTTCGTCTGTTCAATTGAGGCGCGTACCGGTATGCGGCAGCTTCACGTCGTCGTCTGGCTGAAGAAACGGTTTTCGCTGGACCGTCACTGGGACTGCCTGGATATAGCTGGTGACGCCATCTGAATGGAAATGGGAATTGGAAAGGTCCTTGGAAAGGTCCGTGTGATCTTCCTCCATTCCGTTTACCAGCGCTGCCTTGTAATCCATTGTGAAATTTCGCTGTGAGTGCTGAGCTTGTAAAAGAGGCGTATCGTCGAGGTTGCTGCGGGAGGAGAAGAAGTAAGGTGCTGTTCAATAAGACTTTTTTTCTTTATGGCTCAAATTGACTTTGCAGCAGATTTCACATGATTATATGTTGAAGCGTGGACGAAAGCGGCCTTGAATTGGTCCCCATGACGACATCGTGAGTTCATTCCTGGGGTTGTTTCGGGCAGTCGCTTAGCAAAGATGGTGAAGCTTGGAAGGACGGCCCAATTGAAGGTGACGATCATCCCGACGTCATGGCCCGGAATTCACATGTCTCGCACCCTGCTGATTTTGTATGCAATTGTACAAGCTGTGATAGGCTGGAAGCTGAATCAGAAGCAAATTGGCATGTGATTCAAGCTCAATCTTTATTGACGCACAAATTGGAAAATGCAGAATTATCTTGTATGTAATAAATTGAATGCATTCTGATTGGCGACAATGTCCTTATGACGGCCATGATAATGAAAGCTCATATGAAAAGAGACAGCCCATCTACATTCAATGGCACGCAACAGGGGTCCAAAATCATGGCGATTCTATGCTGCAGCTACGGACAAGGACTGAGATAATACCGACTTAAGCCGCCTGCTTCGTCAAATCTTCACTGACCTTCCACAGCTTGTCTGCAACTGCAGGGTCGAGAGCGCCAGGCAGCACGCCCTCTTTCGTCAGGACTCCGTCGGCTAAATAATAGCCATCCTTGTCTATTAGAAACGTCAGCATCAAATTCATCGTCACGGCGATTTGTAGAAAGTTGAAAGCGACGATAATCAACAAGGGGCACTCACTGGTGAGGCGGTGGTCGAAAGCAGCAATGATTGCGGTCGACGCACCCTCGGCCAGACTCTTGGCCTTGATGGCAGAGTTGAGGTTTCCATTGTCATCAACCCAGCCTGTTCACACAATTATCAGCATTACGTGAAGCGTATAAGATAGGACGAGATACTTACCGAGCGTCTTAAAGTCCTCCATGGGCACACTCCTCGTCAAACCCGTCGAGACAATAACACCCGGGTCAACGCTGAAAGAGCGCAATCCAGCCTCCCCAAAGCGCTTCGCCAGTCCCACTGCAAAGAGCACATTGCAAGCCTTGGAATTGCTATAAGCCGTCCATTTCTCGTACGCCTTGCCCTCATTGTACGACAAGTCATCCAGAAAGTCCAGATTGGCTCGTGATTGCGCCTCGCTCGTGTACATCACGACGGTGGCATGCTCAGAAGCAAGCAGCTTCTCAATCAGCAAGTTGATCAAGAGAAAGTGTCCGAGGTGGTTCACGGCGAACTGCAGCTCGATGCCGTCTTTCGACTTCTCGTATGATGGCGTGGCCATGACGCCGGCGGTGCAGATGACTGCATCCAGGACGGACACGGAGTCGCGGATTTCGGCGGCGGCTTTGCGAGTGGCTTCCAAAGAGGAGAGGTCGAGCTCAATGGGCTGGACTGTGGTTCCCTGGGGGATGTCGAGGGAGGCAATGACTTCTTCGAGCTTGTGGGCCGAGCGGCTGGCGAGGAGGAGTTTGGCGGGCTTTTGGGCGACGATGGCTCGAGCGGTGTCTGAACCGAGAGAGTTGGGGCTGACGCCAGTGACCAGAACTAGATGTTCGACGTTAATATTTAGAGAGAATATTGAAGATAGATTGACGAGAATGACTTACTGGTCTTGCCGGTGATGGCGTCTCTGAGGGCTGTGGCAGCCTCGTCAGAAGTTGTATGGAATCCGAATTGAGCCATATTGAGAATCTTCAATGCTGAGTATCTTTGATGATTGATTTATTTAATGTTGTAGTCTTTGTCTGTGATCCAATCTCGAAGAAAATTAGAGGACATCTTAGTGCTTTATATCTGCATCTGTGGTCAGTCATTATACGGTGCCTCGAGGTGATGACGCTATCACTAACCCAAGCGTAAGCAACACCAACATCAACGTCCGACAGCATCTTCAACCCGGTAAGTCCGCATTAATAATTCAGATATAGACGACTCACTTTCTATATTCATCATCATTCTCAGATGGATATGATTTCACCTCTTTGAGCCGCCCACCACCGCGAGCTATGCCACAGCTCCCCCTCTTTTCCGCCAACAAGCCATTTCCACTTTCGGAGAAACCACTCTTTGGCTTCCCAGCTCTGGCTATCCCACGGCGTACCATGATCCATTCCATTCTGGCTCGCAGAGCCCCAGCATACAAGTCCATCATGCAGCATCAGATCAAGACAGAGGTCGTCTTCGTCTAGGAGAGGCGGATCCGCTGCCAATGCCGCCAATGCCCGTCGCCGAAACGTGGGGAATGGCAGTGAATCAATGTATGGATGATGCGTTACTGTATACTGCGTCGGAATTGGACGCAGATTCAGCGGAATATCGTGAGCTTGTATGGTTGTCGAAGTACTCGTGTTCGCATCTTCATTGGCTCTGCTGGTGCAGAAAGGAGATACACTACGCTCATCCAGAAAGAGCCCAAAGTCAAAGCCCAGAGAGCTGAAATTGGTGAATAGAGCAGCGAAATAAGAGAATCTCGCGATGCGGAGAGAGTTGCGATAGGGTGAGTAGGAGGACACGGGAGATGTGGCGAATCGTATCTCTGACACCCGTCGCTGGGTAGTTCTGAGATCGCTGCCTTCGAAGCCTTGGCCATTGCGGTTGGTTGAGTTTGTGTTGGCCAGAAATAGTGACGATGATATCATGTCTATGAAGCTGAAATACCCATCTCTGGCCAGTTGAGCGAGGAGCCGTCGCGTCGATTGGGGAAGAAGTTGGAACCACTTGCGGATAAGCTGCGGTCTGCTGGAAAGCGGTCTGCTGCTGGGGCGGTAAATCTGGATTTCTTTCTTGTTATGCGAACTTGGAGCCGAGTACATGGATGCCGGGGTGTTAACAGAGAACAGAGAAGATGATGAAGACCCCGTGAAGCCAGCCGTGTTGGATGCTTCGGCCGGAGTTGATGTCGATGCCTCTGTCTCGGTAAGATGGAGCAAGGCAGAGAAGCTCTCGGTAGAAGGATTTTCTGCCACCATGGGTTGGCTCTCATTGGCGATGGTACTAGGCAACCCCATCATCTCCATCGCGAATGAAGTTGAAGGCAGATGTTCCAGCCAGGCATTACCGCTGTCATAAGTCCAAGGACTGGAATTGGCGTACGGCTGTAATGAACTGGCGGCAGTCGGCGGATCATGAGACGGCGAGCTCTCTTCCTGAATCTGCGGCAAATTCGAAGCTGAAGTCGCCAGAGGCGTCACTGTATCCTGACCAGACACAACCTCAGAATCCTTGCCACGTCCCAGCGAGGCAACCTTGGCTTCCAGCTCTCTCAGTCTCTCCCTCTTCCGCTGGCGATATGCTCTCTGGGCCCTGCAATTCTGCATCCGCCGCTCCGCAGTCATTGGCTTGTTCAGCCGTCGTCGCCCTTTCGGGCTCTTTGGCATGGACGGCTGTGTAGCATTGGATTCGTCGCCCACTGCCTGTGGGACTGTGTCGCTCCGGCTCGTCATGGCTGAGGCTCAGGAAACGCTTACACTGTAGAGCTTGGACGAGGCCGTTGATCTTGTGCAATTGAATGCTGATTACCAACGTATATTTCTCTCGTAAATGATGAAGACGGGTAGGATAACTGTAAAAGGAGGGTATTATTCAGAATTGGTATTTGACAAAGGCATGAAGATGACGAGATGGGAGTTGAAGTGGTTAAGGGGTGCTTACGAGATGACACTCAAGGTGCTTACGCTTCGGGCATTGCTCGTCTCTGATGTATCCGAAAAGTACTTTAGCAGCTGGGACAGTATCATGAAGACTGGAGATACGTCATGAGAGTACTTGTGGGGTACCGGCTTTGCTCGCGGACTTAAGCATAAAGGCGTACCGTACCTAATCTGGTGTAAATCGCCCTTCGAAATGCCTCCAACCACAGGAAGTTATTAATACTTGGAGATAAAAGATAACTTGCACCATCTGGTAACATATCACGACAGCAAGTATTGAGACAAGGCCTGATGTGGAATAATTAATCAAATTTCGCCGCGCTGACCATAACACAAAACTAACCCGCTTGACCAAAAACCAAAGTAAACATCAATCGCTGAACCCCCTGGGTATCTACGCTTTCCAACGCTTCCATGACTTGAATCTTCACATCTCAGTGACCTTCTATCCGAGCCCGCTTTCAAACATTCAAATCGCTGATATCTCATAAATCATCTGCCCCAATTTGCCCAGAGCTCTGCGGCTCCATCATTCCCTTTGATGTGGCACAAGCCAAACTGCATATACAGGTGAGTAAAGCATGTCAAATAATGAGGTGTATCAATTGTGTTTTACTCACGCGAAAATCAATAGTCATCAAAGAAAACAGGCGCTCTCCCATGTAGGTGCTGACTTCCGTCTTGGACTTGGACTCCTTTCGGGTCATCACCCTCTCAATCCTCTTGATGCCCCGAGAGTCTTCGATGACGCGGACGTAGGGGCGCTCGGCTCCCATGGTCTTGTTGACCCTGATGTACTGGCCACGCTTGAAGAGGCGCACCTCGGAGAGGGGGCAGTTGCTGGGCACCAGCGGGGCCGAATTCAGCTCGGCGGCAAGCTGCAAGACGGTGCAGAACCTGGCAGCAATGTGCGTCGAGGTAGGGCCGAGCAGTGACCAGATACTGCGGCACACGGTCAGGGGCAGCCGAGGAAGGCCGAGCAGCTCGAAGACGATGTTGAGCTGCTGAGATGCGACGGGGTCGTAGAGCTCGTCAAGGTGCTCCACGCCGTCGACGGCGGAGGTCCGCTTAGCCGCCATGAAGAGGCGGCAGAACTTGTCCTCGGAAAGACAGAACTGGTTGAACAGCATGAAGCAGTCCGCGTGGTAGGTCGACTTGCCGTAGGGATCGCGGGTGCAGTCTTTGCAGTCTTGTTGTTTGCAGAAGACAGCCCGGTCAGTCCGTCTGAGGAGCTTGTCCTTTTGGAAAGGAGGCACTCTGTACATTTTGCCTTCAAACGTGGTGAAGGACTCGTGGCGAGCTATAGCCATTATGGTCAGTATGTTTTGGAAACTCCTCCATGTGGCATAGGGAATTCTTTTTTCTCACTAGCAACGAGGATTTGCTTCCTCTTGACGGGCCTGTTGCACGCACCGCAGACAGACCCGATGTGGATGTGAGGACGTCCGTCGTAAGGCATGGTGAAGGCTGGTTGGAGATGATGTAATTCGAGTCAAGATCGGCAAGATTGATCGAATGTTGTGAATATGATTTGCGTCGAGAGTAAACAATCAGCTGGAGACGATGGTTTGACTTGAGTCGATAGCAAGAAGATGGGTGGAGAGTTCTTGGACAGGAGCGTTTACATCTACTGGGGACTCAACACCTTTATAACATCCTCTCAGCCACAGACATTGAATCTGGTTTGGCTTGATTCTTGAAGGTTTGGAAATTGTTGAGCCATAGTCTCATGAGAATTTGACCTTGACGAGAACCAGAGAGTGTCCTGAAAGTATGTTGAACGCCACGTCCTGTTGCCACGAACTCGGCTTCACCTTTGCCTCTCATTGTCAATAAGCTTTCTGGCTTGTAACTCATGGTGTTGAGCTCAAAGTTGAGTGTACGAATCTTCAAAACTGGTGGTTGAATGTGTTGAGACTATGGCGGACTGCACGCATAAGAGCTCAAGGCATCTCCATGCCTCACCTCGAAAACCTTTACAATTCTCGTGGAATATTCCCTCATGTTTCTCATGGAATCTTCCTGTGGCTGTTTTCATGGCAATGGCATTGGATCCTCCAGCATATTCAGAGATGGCTGAAGGTTATCTTGCTACTTATACCAAAGACGTCCAAGATGAAGCCACCGCCGGCGTATTATTGTAGACAAACTACCTAGAGGAGAGGAGAAATAAACTCAGATTAAGCTTAAATTCCCGGCCGTTGTTCCGGTAGACGTGTCGACATCCACTGTCCGGGGTATTCTTCCATACGACTCTGCGGGAGGAATACACATAGCCTACGGGTGTCGATCATACCTTACCCACTGTGTAAGTTCTTGAGTGTCCCAGGAACGACTCTGTCACGATGATCTCCCTAAAGCGATCTCTGGGCAGCTGATTTAAGGTCTCTCATAGAAAACGAATGTCTATTTACTACTCGTATATCTCTCTGTGTGTGTGCGAGTTGATGTCTATAGACATGCACTAACACATCTGCTATTGAATCACCAGTAGTTCTGTTAGAGGTACCAGACGAACGCCAATCTGGTGTCGATCTTTGGTCTGGCGGAGATTGGCTCAAAAGCTGTGGAGATTGAGTGGCGTTAGTGATCGGGAAAGGGACATGGTCCGATCTCTTGACAGGCGGATCGTTTTCCTTTTGTTCCCTGCGGAGTTTGTTGCTGTGGAATGGCAGTCTGCAGACGATACTCTCCAGACGGAAATCATTTGTATTGCCTGACTATGGTTATAGCTGGCATTTGATTCTTACCACATGTATACGTATACTCGTACTCTGCCACGGCCAAACTTGCCTCGATTTCCTCAGCTTATTGTGCAGCATCTTGTTCCTATTTTAGCGGAGCGGCATCCGGCGTAGGCGATCGGACAGGACCGGGAGCCAATCAGCATCGAGGATGCGTGAGCGTTGAAGATGCAGGGCACGGAGTCCGGGGGAAACATTTTACTGGTGACTCCGGATGGTGTTCCTGTAACTGTGTTGATTCTCTATATTTGAAAAATAAATATCAGTAGATGAAAAAGAGAAGGTATATCGAAATTCGTTGTTCATGAGAGTGATTAATGCCATCTTCTCCAAGCAAGTCTACCTGTAGGTACATTCTGGCACACATCATGTGAACTGCCCACTGGGCCAGACGCTTTCCAGGGCCTCTGCAGGTCATCCGCCCGCTGAGCTCAACAAAAATGCCCCCTATATCGCGCGCCCCTTAGCAGGCGCACACTAAAAGACTGGGTATCGACATGTACAAATCCATGACCGCTCGACCTTCACTTCGTGTTTGTTTCTTCTCTCTTCCTCCTTACACAACACTCACCACCACAAATCCCTTTTCTAATCTCGCATATAGTCGTCACTGTCATCGTCCGCGTCATCGTCCTGCATTGGGAAACTGCAACTCGCATTCGCTACCGCTAGCATTGCGCCAACCCGTCTCATCCTCCTCTACCATACATCGCTCAATCCTCTCGGAATCCGGGTAGCATAAACCCCGAGCCACTCTCAGGCCTTCGTTCTAAACTCCGTCCGACCCTCCGCCACCAAATCCGGCCGCCTCACGACCGAGTTGCGTGGCAGCAGCACCAGTTGAGCGCTGCCTTTGTCATACGGAATTCCTTTGGTGCCTGGTGCCTCGTGCATTAGGTGTCTTTTTCCCCAATAAAAACCTACGCATCGCCCGGACGCCCGCTCTCAGGCAATGCTCAGGACGCAGACCGTCTCAGCGATACTGCAACGATCGCGCCTTAGCTTCACCCTCACCACCTCGCCTTCGCCTCTTCCCGCCACCACATCCAGCATGTCCACCACCGAGAGTGCCATCCGCGCTCACCCGCCGCGCGAGGCGCCCGAGGACCTGCGCCAGCAGCGGCCTCAGCAGGTTTCGGGCGCATACTTTCCGCTGGGATACAAGGAGGCTGCCTACCAATGGGTATGTTAAACATCGAATGCAGGTTCCAACTTCTTACTAACTCCCACGTTAGTGGTGCGGTGTCACGCCGTCCATGGCCGAGCGCAACGTCCTCAAGCATATACCCTTCCTGAAAGAGGCCACTTCTAGCCTGGCCAGCCTCTCCAGCACCGACACGGCCGACCCCTTCGGCACCAGAATATGGAGGCAGACCATGGTCCCGCTCTCCGGCAAGAACCGCGCCCTCAACGAGTTCTCCGTCGAGCGAGTCGGCGAAGAGTCTGACGAGACGCTGGTCATGCTCCACGGCTACGGCGCCGGCCTGGGCTTCTTCTACAAGAATTTCGAGCCCATAACCCGCATTCCTGGCCTGAAGCTGTATGCCCTCGACATGTTGGGCATGGGAAATTCTTCCAGGCCGCCATTCAAGATTCATGCAAAGGACAGGGAGGGCAAGGTGATTGAGGCAGAGAACTGGTTCATTGACGCCCTCGAGGAGTGGCGCAAGGCGAGGAAGATTGAGCGCTTTACCCTGCTGGGCCACTCTCTCGGCGGCTACCTGGCCGTCTCGTACGCCCTCAAGTATCCGGGTCACCTGAAGAAGCTTATTCTTGCGTCTCCCGTCGGCATCCCAGAGGACCCCTATGCCGTCAACTCCGCCCTGCCTGAGCCTGGCGAGTCCACAATGCAGAACGAATTCACCGTCGACCAGCAAACCACGACAACGACCAAGAACGGAGCTGCCGTTCCGCCCAAGCGTCCCTACCCCGGCTGGCTCGTCTGGCTCTGGGACGCCAATGTGTCGCCCTTTAGCATTGTCCGAATGGCTGGCCCTCTCGGCCCTCGATTCGTCTCTGGTTGGACTTCGCGACGATTCAACCACCTCCCGGCTGAGGAAGCCCAGACCCTGCACGACTATTCATTCTCCATCTTCAAGCAGAAGGGCAGCGGCGAATATGCCCTGGGCTACATTCTGGCGCCGGGTGCCTTCGCCCGTCGACCGGTGATCAACCGCATCCAGGATGTCGGTCGCCAGCCCATCAAGGGCCCGAACGGCGAAGTCGTCGGCAAGGAGACGGGCATCCCCATCGTTTTCATGTACGGCGAGAACGATTGGATGGATGTTGCCGGCGGTCTTGCGGCCGAGGAGAAGCTGAAGCAAGTCAAGGCCGACATCATGCGCAATGGCACGGAGGAGGAAAAGGCCAACGACAAGGGCAGCTGCAAGGTTGTCATTATTCCCAAGGCGGGCCACCACCTGTACCTTGATAATGCCGAGTTCTTCAACAACATCATGAGGAAAGAGATGGAGGATGTCAAAGAGATGGAAAAGCGCAAGCGAGCGGAGTCATCATAGATTTTTTGTTCTCACCATTTGATTTACTTTTCCGGGATATACATGTTGCATAGAGCGAGGAGCTATTACAGGATATACGGCGTTGAAGGGGGGATTGATATGGGTAAGATGATGGTCACTAATATGTGGCTTCTTGTTTGAATAGGGCATGAGGTTGGTGGCATATACTTTTCTGTTGTTTAGATGACACAGTTTAAGAGAGCGGTTTAATAGATGGTTGGCAGTCAGTTTATAGTCAAGACCACGAGGGCAATCGGCACATCTCTGATAGAATCTCCTTCGAATATTGCATTGTATTATTCAAGTCATGACATACATCCCATTCTTTCCACGATATTAAGCCACAGTGACCTCGACTTTGGTCTTGTCTATCTCATGTATTAGCTCCCCTCGTACCAGAACATCATCAAAGCAGGGTGTAATTACTCACAAAAAGCAACATGGTCCCTCAAATCAAGCGCCCCCTCAAGCGGCTCCTTATAATACCACGCCGCATTCTCAAATTTCTGGCCTACACAACAAAAGTTCATCAGCACTCATCCCAAAACCACCCCCAACTCAAAAACCCCCCAATTCGAATAAATCAAGGTAAACGTACCATCAACTTCAAGCGTATAATAACTCGCATCCCCCTTCCACGGACACCACGTATTCAGCGTCGCCCCCCGCAGGTACTCCTTGTGCACGCTCTCCGGCGGGAAATACACGTTGCCCTCCGTCTCGCGCCAGGACGTCGCCTCGGCGATGACGGTGCCGTTGATGCGCGCCGTGGCGTGGCCGGTGCGCGGGGTGACGGATTTGCCCATTTTGGGGACGAGTTTCTTGAGGAACGAAATGGTGGCGGTTTTGTTCTCTTTCTCCCTTTTCTCTTGGTTTCTCTGAGAAGAGATGAGTTTTCGGATGTAAGTGAGATGAGCTGAATGTTCTGAGGGTTGGAGTTGATGTACTATATAGATGTCTTATACTTTTTATATGAACGACGGTGTGTGGCTGAGAGGCATGATTTCTAATACCTCCAACTTATTCCAACATCCCGTCAGCTGCGGGGTCAAACGTCTCCCCTCGCCTTTCGTCATCCAAGCCACAGAGATCTCGGATAGATTCCAAATCAAAAGCAACCTAAGTGCAAGGTCCCTGAATCTGATCGTCTCTTTCTTATCCGTGAGCATTCAGCCACATACGACGAGGCAGACTTGTTCAACCTCACGAGAATGGAATGTGGAATATCAACTATTATCAATTCATCTACCATTAAACAAAGCGTCTGCTTGCTATGCATTACCCTAGGTAGGGTGTTGAGTCCTGTCAAGTAGTTGAAATCTATCTATGACCATTGTAATCGCCTTCTCTGCGTTCGGTAGGGTACCGAATCCCGTCAACGCCATGCAAAAATGATTCCCTTGTCTCTTTCTCTGTCTCTTTGTCTTGCTTCTTTTTTCGTTTCTTCTTGTTTTGCATGTGAAAGTCATCAAGTCAATAAACGCCACGCTATCCATAAGTCCATTCCATCACAAGTTGATCAGGTCAATCTCTGAGAAATCCGGCGGGTATCTGCCGTACACCACGCGCACTTTGCTGTCCAGCGCAGTGCCCTCGTTGCTGATCCAGATGTGCTCACTATAGCTTCTGGTTCGGCGCACTTCGTCGTCACTGATGCCCAAATCATCTCGGGGAATCCAGACAATGGGCCGGCGCGCTCGCAGGGCAGAGTGCAAGAAGGCATGGCGAACCAGGACGTCCCTCTCCTCAGGGGTAAGGTCCTCGATTTCGTCGTGAATTCCTCCGTACAGAGCCTCTCCAATGGCGCGCTGTGCTTCGAGATCCTTGCTTCGCTGTTTCCGTCGGTACTCGGCAGCCCGAGAGTCGTTATCCATCAAGGCCAGCTTTCGGAGCTGGTTGCCCCCGTCTTTGGCCCAGGATCCAACTTGCTTTCCGCCTCCCTTGGCCCAGGATCCCATCTTCTTCACCGGGTTCGCGATGCGCGCAACACCTCCCTTTGACTTTTCGGGCTGGATGTTGCTCAGCTCAATATCATCTCTGCTATCCATCGAAGTGGAAGGTTTTTCGGCCGCGCCCCGTTCCCTTCCGGCCTCGTCAGTGCCCTCGTTGTCTTCGTTATCGGAATCAGCGATCAGTCCAAAGCGGCGATCTTGAGCCCGCTGGAACGCTTCGTCGCGTAACACAGCCTCGTCTTCAAATGTAATGGGCAAATATCGGAAAAGAGGCGAAAATGAATTGTTCAGGAGGATCTGGTAAAGAACGGTCAGGATCAAGGCCACGATCATGACGATACCGTGTGGCGTGCAAGTGTGAGTGCCCGATTCATCAACCACAATGAAGAACAATCCGGCCAAACACAGCTCCATGACGTATATGCCCGTGAACGTCTGGTTGAGCGCTCGAGGGTACAGAACACCGCCGGTGTCGACCTCGAATCGAGTAACGTAGAGCATGGAGTATCGCTGAGCAACCCAGAGGAGCCCAAATGTGATGACGGCAAAGATGGAAATGAGCGGCGCAACAACGCTGTAAATGATGGCAATGCAAGCAAAGTTGGTGTAGACGGGAAAGAAGCTTCCCCAGTTGACGTCGTTCAGATTCGTGTTACGAGCCCACTTGCTACGTGCGGTGTTGTCAAAGATCCGAGCCAGAATGAACCAGACAAAGAGGGCTCCGACCTGGAGCAGAGTACCGGAACTGGTAGACATGGCCTGAAGAATCATGTAGGAGAAGAAGTAGTTGGCCGCCTTTGGTAGGTTTGTCGCCAGAAGATCCAGCACGGCCTTGACCGAGTCGAGCTCAGTAATGTTGTCCACCAGCTTGTCGATGGATGCGGCAAAGAACGAGGCAATCGACACAATGAGGAAAACTTGGACGAAGAGAAAGGCAAAGTAAAAGATTTGCACAAACTCCGACTTTTGGGCTCCCGTCTTGGCGCCCTTGATCTCGCCCAGGAAACTCAATATCCTTGGCACAAGGAAGAGGAGCAGAGCGAGGACAGCGGCGGGAAGAACACCTGCAACACCCTTGGCCGCATTCTCGAGGGCCTTGTTGTCCCTCAGGAACCCGAGCCAAGACGTCTGCTGGATAAGCTGATCCAGCTGACCCAAGGCGGCCGTCCAAGCAACGGGAATAGCCCACAGGAAAATCATGGCCAGCACCATGAGAGTAACCGCGCCGGTGCGCACCCACTCCTGCCACCACGAGAGAGCCATGTTGCTCCAAATGACGTCCCGGGGCGAGATCTCATTCACACGTGGCGCCATTTGCCGGGGGACGTGGTGGATGATGCTCTGGCACGCCATGTGAGCGGCCACCTGGTGGTTGAATTGGATAAACGCCGAGTTCATCAGGGGGAACCGCTCGGGGTGCTTCTGGTCTTCCTCGATCTCCATATTTAGTCGGGCCAGCTCAGTTCTGCACCAGTAGATGGTATCAACCTTTTGGCTAATCAACGGGAGACCAGGCAGCCATGAGATTCCCCATGGGGGTAGACGGTGGGTAGGACGATCCTTCTTTTTGAGATACTTGGCCCATTCGGCCTCGGTCTCTTCCTCTTCCACCTTGTAGTCCTCATTGAAGTAGACAGCGGGGTAGTCGCCCGTCTCTTTGGCCTTTTCGCTCGTAAAGGGCAGAACCCCTTTGAAATTTTGCCACCACGTTTTCTCTTCGGTACCCTGCTTGCCTATGTAGTCGTCACCCTCGTTCTGCTGAGGGACTGGAGAGGCGTAGCCGCCGGCGGGCGTCTTCCAGAACTGCCAAAACTTGGGTTCTTCCATGTTGTACATGTCGTTGATGTTCTCGAGCTTCCGGACCGTGTTTCCCTCCACCGTAGCTGGGTTGTTCCCCCGGATAGCTTTGGTAGATCCAGCCGAGACCGAAGACGGTCCCCGCGAATGTGTCTGCGCGCGATGGGCCGCAAATGAAGGATAGCCGTGGGGCTGAGGGCCTTCGTCTTCTCCAGGCATAGTCTGTTTGCGAGCCAGGCTGATGAAGCCATTGTTTGTCCCAAACTCGTCCATCTGGTCGCCAGCCTTGTTGAACGCGCCTTTGATATTCTTGAGTACCGCAACGCTGCTACCGTCGGACGCTTGAGATTTCCGGTCATCGTCGTCCGAGTCTGAGGAACTGGAAGAGGATTCGTTATCTTCCTCTCGAACATTGGTGAGCTTGCGCAACTTTCGCTTGTGCTTATCCTCGATTCGCGACTCTCGAACGCTCTCGTCAACTGTGTGAGGGACGTGGTGCTGCTTGCCATCGTTAGTGCCTTCGCCGCTGTTGGCCATGCGCTTGGCCTCCGCATCCTCTTCGGCTTGACGAGTAGCCTTTTCTTTCTTTGACAATCCTTTGCGCTGTTTCTTTTCCTCGGCATTTCGCCTCTTCAGCTGAACTTTCTTGGCCGCCCGGATGAGTTCAGTCTCGGCGGCTTCGAGCTGTGCGTGGATCTCAGTTCGGAGATTGACCTTGTCCAGGAGACTCGTCAGGTCCCGGTTGATCCAGATATTCCGGATCCCGCCAGGGAAAACGTCGAACAGGCCGGACAGCGCGTCCTCGCTGAGCCACTTGGAGGGGATAGAGTTGACCAGCACCGTCGTGGCGGAGGCCCTAAGTCGGTGCTCTGCGCTGGTCAGATAGTCTTGGCGGACTTTGATGTAAGCACGCATCTCGAAGAAGAAGACACTGCAGACCCAGATGATGACGAGGAGCGCCATCAGCAGGTGTGCAGCGTAGCGGCTTGTCTCCGTCGCCTTGACATTGCCCCAGGCCAGGGTGTCCAGACCCGTGGGCACAAAGGCGGGATCGCTGCTGTCGGTGCTGTTGCTGCTGTTGCTGCTCGAATCCGCATCGGTGCTGTTGCGGAAATCGATATTTTTACCGCGACCTCCAACGTAGTTGATGGGGATGAGGATGGGCATTACAATCGCGCAGATGGGAATGAAGATGATGAGGAGCGTTTTCAGATATCGGAGAAAGAAGTAGGCGTCCAACCCGCACTTGTTGATGACTTCTCGGTCATTGTACGTGATCAGGGCCCTAATCAGCTTGAAGAAGTTGTTTGGAGGGGTTTCGGTTCGTTCGCGCTCGGGGACAAGATACGTCTTTGGTTTGCTACAAGACAAGTTCGTCGTCAGCATGCTTGATATTGAGGCAGCGAGGTGGTGGCTCGAGATTTAAGAAATGTGTGGCCTGTACTTACAATACTCTTGCCAGTTTGTTCCTTAAAAGAACGAATAACAGAAGCTGGACAAAAAAGATGATCACGGAGACCAGGATGGCCGTCAGGAAACTGACAATGCCTATGCCTGCGCTCTTCTGACCGTCGCCTGCCTCCTGGGTATCTCGTTTCGCAAGAGACGCGGCCGCCATGATGACCCTGTGAGGCCATGGCTGATCGCCACCTGATGGGATTGTCTCCATTGCTGGAGTCTGGAAAGAGAGGTGCTCGCCGTGAGCGGAGCAAAAGGGAGTTGATCGCCCAAAATGAGGTTATGATTAGGACGTAATCAATGTTGGAAATGAAGGAATAGTAATGGCATCTGTACGAAGACGATAGATATGGGCAAGTCGAGCTTTGTAGGGCGTCGGTGCGTCTGATTGCGCCCTCTGGGGGCTTCGAAAAGAATGCGCTCGAGGAGGTTGAAAGGATGCCAAGAGGCCAGCGGTGCTTCGCGATCAAAGGGGAGAATAGCTAGGGGAAAAGGAGAAGGCGAGGTCGGCCAGGTGTGACAATGGCCAATGTTTGCTGTACGTTGTTCAGTGAAGCGGTGGAGGGAGCAACAGCCCGTCTGGTGGAGAAGAATTTTTCCCACTTCTGCTTGGAGGCACGAAGCTTGGACGTTTTTACAGAGTACAGCAGCACGCGATAAAGGGAATGGAAAACATGAGAATGTATCAATTGCACTATTTTACCGACGGCGAGGTTACACGATAAGGTCATGGTGTGCTCCCCTTGCCTGTCAGATCCTTGTTTCTGGGCTCTTCGTCCTGGACGTCATCCGCGGCCGTGATTGGCAGCTGGTGGGTGCGAAGCGCGCATCCAGCACGACCCACGAGAGACATCGTCGCCATCAAAGGGATTGAGAGGAAAAAACAAGGATGTTCTTTTGAGCGCCGGTGACATCAGAGGCGCTCAGAGGCCCCCCAGGCCCTGTCGCTAAGCAGCGGGTGCGGCATGGATCAGCGCGGGTACAGGCGCCAGAACCTAAGCCTCAGTGAGCACCTTGATTCGCACAGAGCGTCCGTCGGCGTCTCTAGGCAGGTTAGCGGGTGCTTGGGAGGGTTTCATTGGGGCAGATGCGCTGTTGGCTTCCCACTGCCTCAGCTGCAGCGCCCCACCCGCGGTCCAGTGGCTCAGGGCCTCTCACTGGCTCCCGTCGGCTTGGGACTGCGCATGTACTCTGAGTGTGCTTTGCTGCAGTCGGCGGCAATCAATTACGCGTACGCTTGTACAAGGAAGAGACAACTTGCAGCAGATACTTCGTGCAGACGCTTCACTGAATCAACACCAATTCCGTCAACACATAGAGTGATTCCCTGGCAAAAAAGGGGGTCAGCGAGCAAACGGCGGTATCGGCTTCGGCGTGGTCAGTGAATGAAAGTGGATTCGCTCTTTCTCTGGTCTGCGCTTGGCGTTGTGGCGTAACGTGGAGCAGGTACTCCGGGGTAGTGCAGACGGAAAATTGGACGAGAATCGAAGACCTCCCGAGACGGGAAACCATCTCCAACCTTCACTGACGTAAAGGTATGGCGCAGTCAAAGAGTGCGCTAAAAGTCCGCAAACAGAACAATATCTGTTCCAACAAGTGAACACGTCGCAGACATACGAGACACGTAGTGAACAATGGCGGGATGGGTGGAATCGGCCTCTTGCGGCGGCATCAGCGAATCGGCCGAAGGTACGCAGTAGAGACAACGCGCAGTCAGTCAGTAGTGCAGTGTTTTTCCCCGGACTGAGCTTGATTTCGAGAAATCCTGGAGTAGATCATCAAAAGGGCCTTTACATGCATGCGCTGCGACGCACAAGGTCGCACTGGAGAAGACCACCGATGTCATGGCCAACAGGCAATCGAGATAAGATGGGCACACTACGCTGACGCTGACTACCACCTTATGTTAGATCGTCATCCGATGCAGGAAAGTTGGTCTTGGTCACTGTTGGTTTCCGCCTCTTTGCCTCTGATAGACCGATGCCATCAAAAATGTCTTGCATGTCTACCTTATTTGCTTCGGTTCAAGTTTCGGTGCGTGCCGAATACGATTCCCCACTACCTTAAGGTTATTCCATTCACCCAAACGGAGTGCAGACATCACGATCCTTTCTCCGAGTCGAGGGACTTTGGGAAGTCCGACGGTCACTTTCAGACTTCTCATTTCAAAGGCTTTGTTTCCAGAATTTTCCAGGTCTTGGGGTTTCCTTAAAGAGGCTCGAAACTGTTGGGTACGGAATACATTGCGTGAGTTGACGTCCTTTGTCTCACCCGTCTTCTCTCATTGACGTAATCAACCATTGTTGACTTTAGGAAGGCACTCGGCGCCCTCCTGTCTGACCTCTGTAGCAAGTTCGAAGGATTCATCCTGTCTCAGCGCTCCAAAAAAATTTCTCATCTTTCTTTCGAAAACCTAATGGACCACTGGGATCATAAAGCACAATGTGTTTCTGAAGGTCTGATCACATCATTATCTCATCAAAGCACGGGTCTCACTTCATCCATCATTGATTAGATGGTCTCGTGAGAAGTTTGGAACGGGATCGGTCATACAAACCACTCTAGATGCACTTGATCTCTTGATGGCAAGCTCCAGCAAGCCGTAGCCGGAGATCTCTAAGCGCTCTCTCGTTAGTCAACGAAACTGGTCTTTAGAAGGGAGATATTGAGCTATACTCGTTCGTCGGACATAGTTTGTTGAATCCCAATGGTGCTATAAGGCTTGGCATTGCGAGCTTCTAGTCTCTACAACAAAGTACAACGGCGCCAAAGACATTCAAACGGACCCAGTTATTGGCATCAACGGCCGGTATTTCGAGCGGCAATCCCAGTCGCCATGCTCACATCTCATCAACGGCCTCAACCCATTTTCGGTTCCTCATGATGTTGAATGAGCACATCTCTATTCACAATGTGTAGAGGAACTGGACACCAGCTGTACATCGGTCAATCTTTTTTCAACACACAAAGAGAAAGCTATGTCCATGGATGGTCTCATGCTTGATAGCGAATAACGCCCGGTTGGGCTGCCTATGTGTTCTCATATCATCGGTTATTACATGTACCCAAACGGACCGTTCGTCGAGAATGACATCCTCTTGCCTACCACCGTGTGCCTCTTTACATGTATCTCATCTTCAATTGTACCTTTGCTCGTTGACATGTGTACATAAAGCCCCATTCCATAAGCTGAGGGGCCCATTAGAAAAGCTCCTGATTTGTCTTATATGAATGCTGCTTCTTCAGGATTGCAACATCAAAAGCCACCTGGCCGTGTTATCCCTGTATTCTCGCAGTGAGATGAATAAGGCGTTTTCTCATCAACCGGGATGAGGCAAAGTGACTCAGGCAGCCAGTAAGTTCTACACGCACGAGCTATTGAGTAATGGACTACGGAGTACAGAGTATTCATTTATCACTTGTCTCGTTTGCAATGACAGCGTGATCATTTAAAGATCTACCTTGGTATCTCGCGGCTCCCCGATAAGAACTTGCCCCGATTCTTGGAAAACTAAATCCCAGACGCAAAGTAAGCATGAAAAGAGTGAAATTAATGCATCAATACAGCCATCTCCTCCTTTGCACCATAACGCCCATGACCGTAACTGTCAATCCCAGGTTCCGCAGTCATACTCCTTTCGATACCGGACCCAAGTAGGAATCACCCGTGTGATAAGCATGCCTATTTCAGCATGATCGATATCTTGTGAGAAGCGTAGACCCTACACTGCTCCGATGATGGCTGTGAAGCCAAAAGTAGAATGAGAGTATCTCACTTTAGGATTGCTTGTCGACCATTAACACAATAAGCAGTCCAGACAGCAACAGCATGCTGTACCAAGCGCCAGACCACCAAGAAGCCCGCTTGTCGTTCCACCGGGACGCTGGTTTCCATAATAGCCCTGAGGAGGATACTGGCCGTATTGACCTTGTGCATATTGGCCCTGAGCATATTGTCCTTGAGGCCACTGGTTGTAGCCGCTGGGATACTGGCCTTGATAGTAGCCTTGTTGCTGGTTATAATATCCCATTTGGGGCCCCGGCTGGTAGTAGGCTTGCTGTTGACCCTGCGGACTCTGATAACCTTGCTGATAGTTGCTGGGCTGGCCTTGCTGTTGGTAGCCCCCATAGCCCGCATATCCACCGTATGCGGCCTCAGGGACTTGGGGTGGCTCTCCATAGGCCGGTGGATTCTCACCCCTGTTGTTATTCTTGGGTGCCATGATTCTACCGTCTAGACGCTATTGCGAATCGCCAGAGACAACGAGAGAAAGCCGGTCCAAACCAACGACGTGGACACAGCAGTTTAAGATGTGGTTTTGAGGAAGGCAAAAGAGAGGCAATGAGGGGAATGGGAAGAAGGAAATCCGGACTGCGCGTGATCAAAGCCAGAGGACATTGGGGCGAAGTTTAAGCTCTCGTCATGGCCACCTTCCGAGCACTTACGCACGCAGACGATGGAACGCCACATTCGATTACGACAAGCCTTCGGGTGTTCGGCGCGAACGGAGGCACGACGCTCGGAGAGCGGCGCATCTATTGGACTTGCCTAACACGAGGAGATCGAAACACGATTCCATTCTAGTCCTGACTGCTAGCCTTTCAAGCAGCGCCATCAAGCCACAAATTGTTCAGGTTTACTACCGGCATACGTGTACGGAGAAGTTTGAAGGCGTTGGACTGAAGGCGCTGCATTTAGGGTATCCCGAGCTTCAGTGCTGAAGAGCCGCCACGAGCGATAAGATAGCATCACGTGATTTTAAGCACCGCCACATGTGGCTGCTCCACCAGAAATTGCAAACCGCACCAAAGTTGAGAAATTCGCTGGATTGCTTCGAGTGGAAAACCCCACGCTCACCATCGCCCCTTGTACAATTGCTCTCGCGACGCAGCGCACGTCGATAATCACTGCAGAGCAGACTTGGGAATCTAAACTAGCCATCGAGCGCAACTCGGCAGTCAGCAATCATGGCTACCACCGCCCCTCCCAAGGCCAAGTGAGCTTCCCATCACCATATTCCAAAACTTCGCATCTTCGCCTGCAAGGCTCGCTAACCCCACCATCGCAAATTTCAAAAGGCACGATTGGGCCGACGACGACGACATCGAGGAGACCTCCTCCGAACTGCCGCCTCCCCAGACCATCTCTAACAAGGATGGCACCAAGACGATCATCACATACCGATACAACGACCAGGGCCAGAAGGTCAAGACGACTCGCCGTGTCCGCTACATCACCCAAACCGAGACAGTCAACCCCCGCGTCGCCGCCCGGAAAACGTGGCCCAAGTTCGGCCTGAGCGCCATCTTCCGCCCCAGCGTCTCGTGGCGCAAGGATGCCAAGGAGGAGGGCGCCGATGCCAACGCCCAGGCTATGAAGGACAAGCTCAAGGACAAGAAGGTCAAGTGCCGTATCTGCAACGGCGAGCATTTCACAGCCAGATGTCCTTACAAGGACACCATGGCCCCTGTTGGAGAGACGACCGCCGCCGAGGCGCCCGCTGGTCTGGCCGACGATCTCGCGGCCGCTACTGGCGCTGCCGGGTCTGGAAAGAAGGGCTCCTACGTGCCGCCTGCTCTGCGTGGCGACCGCGGAGGAGCTGGAGAGCGCATGGGTGGATCGAAGTACGGCGAGAGAGACGACTTTGCGACACTGCGTGTTACCAACGTATGTTCAGCCCTTGGATATAACCGTCAGAGATGGTGTGATTTGCTAACGACTGCTTTTCTGTCAAACAGGTTTCAGAGATGGCGGAAGAACAAGAGCTGCGCGATATGTTCGAGCGTTTCGGTCGTGTCACCAGAGTCTTCCTCGCGAAGGACCGGGAAACCGGCATGGCCAAGGGCTTCGCCTTCATCAGCTTTGCAGACCACAGCGATGCCGTTACGGCATGCCAGAAGATGGACGGATTTGGTTTCAAGCATCTCATTCTCAGGGTGGAGTTTGCCAAGAAGGCTCAGTAAAGGAACGGGAGTCCTTGGTTTTTCTTGTTGCGGGATGGTTAGGAAGATTTGGTAATGCATATGCTATGGCTATTTGCTGCATAGCTGGAACTGTCACCATGTTGCCCTCTTGAACGTCTTTTGAGTGTCTCATTTGCACTCTTCCGTCTCTGCTCAGTGGCAGATTCCTCAAATCAGACTTGTCGTGGAAATGTATGTAAACAAAACTCCAACTTGTAATGGGAGGCGTTTGGATATGGATTCCTCAGTTGAAGTCTGTTATCTAGCTGGCGCTTATCTGCATCGGACAGCACGATGCCATTATGCGTAGGCAACTGAAAGAATTCGAGTATGACAACTCCAGGAACTTTTGTCTCTCAGCAGATAAGGCAAGGTAAGGTTTATTGATAAGTACTCCGTATAATGACTACAACCTTCTGTTGACCGCAGGTAAATATAGAGACCGAGCTCCTCATCCAGCATACCTGTCCAATTGACACTCACTGCCAAATCTCGCTTGCGTGGTACGAAGCCCTCTCAAGCAGTCCGTAGTGGAGCCTCCATCTGTTGGGCCAATGTGGGGGAAGTCAGGCCAATCATCGAGAGCACGGCGAACCAGGGTCACGACTTTCACATGTCTGAACTTTTGGCCCTGACGATGTTTAGCAGCATTCGTCATTTTGGCTGGAGAAGTGGGCTCCTGGTTGTGCTTTGCCCCGATACTTGGCAGTGCATGGACATCACGTTGTTGCATTCAACGGCTTCAATGCGAACGGGTGATTGTTCATCAAGATTATTCGACGATACGTCTGCCTCTAGTTCTTAGTCACGTCAAATCAAATCCCCCATTGCACCACATCTGGTAGATTCAATGTTGCAGCGAACCTGGAAGCCTCCCCTCCCCCGGGTTCCGGGTCCCTGTGCCTGCTTTAGCCGATGGATAATAACCAAGTCCAGCGTTCGCGTTCGGGGGCCTTCGGGGACTCGCCAACCGTTCCAGTGGGTTTTCCCCCCCCCACTACTGACAGAAACTGGGCGGCCCTTCTAGTGGTGTTTAGGTGCAATGTCTCTCCACACTGGCATGTTGCTTCGGTAGCTGCGGCGCCCCTTCCCAGAGCTGGACAGAGGTCACAAGACCCCAAGAGAAGCGGAAGGAACCGTTTGAAGGCTTCTCGCCTCAACTTTCTTTTCTTCTCCTCCATCAGTCAACAAACATCGCAGCGAATAACGGCCTTCAACAACGCCGCTCAACTCGCTTCCTAAAGACAAAGCGTCAACCGCTCGTCGTACCAACAGCACCAACCGCGCTCATCAAGCGGATCCGCGAGACTCTGCTGTCACTCCTGCTGCAACCTTAGCCAGGACATCCATCTCCCGCGCTTCGATATTAGCCCCGAGATCAGCTCGCTTCTAGACCTGCGCATTGGTGGCTCCGCCCTGCAATCAACGCAACCCGAGGAGAGCCCTGCCTGCAGCAGTTTCTCAACAAACGGCCCTCCCGCTCGTGATTGGGCGATTCCGAGTTAACGCAGAGAAAGGGCCAGCCAGCTAAATAGCCGCAAGCTCGCAACTCGCGCTCTTCTGTTTCTTCACACCCATTGAACCTCCTCTTGTCCTTCAACCTTACTGCCAATCCAGGCTCGACTCGGACGATATTCAACTCCGTCCAGCATGAGTTCGGCCGCCGACGTCTCGGCCGGAGGGGCTGAGCTGCGGCACCGCCAGGTTCACGAACAATCGCCAGACGCAAGTGGCAGCATCGATCCCAGTTCTACGGCGCCAATGAAACCGCCTACGGCTGCCCAGGATGCCCAAGATGGTGGCATTAATAAGCCAAAGAAAACCTTTGGCCGTACGCCGGATGGCACAGGTGAGTGATGCAGTCAGGGTCCAGAATTCCCCGTTTGGGCTCACATAAGCCCTGCATTAAGCTGACCACAGTACCTCGTGGGGTTAGTATTCGTCGTGCCGACTACACATGATATGGTTTCACAGCTCCTTGACCCGCGACAGCCAAAGAACCTTTCGGACGCTGTTGTGCTGGCTATTCTAGCATTGCACATTCTAGCAGCATATGTCCTGCCGGCTGGGTACAAGCGTCCTGTGTTTACGGCGCTCTTCCTCTTCTGGAGAGCCTCCTACAATGTTGGCATTGGATACCTGCTGCACGTTCAATCTCACCACCGGCGCCTCATTACCTGGGCCAAGAAATGGAAACTATTCGAGAACCCGAACACGGGAAATAATCCTCGCCCATGGTTGTACAAGCTGCTGAAGCGGGAGCTCGAAGCCAAGATTCCTGAGGACTATGAATTTGAGAAAGCCCCCATCGAGTACAACACATGGCTTGTTTTCCGAAGGGTCGTCGACCTGATCCTGATGTGTGATTTCGTGTCATACTGTCTGTTCGCCATCGTTTGCGGCCACACCCCAAAGGGCGAGAGTTTGCTCATTGGCATTGCGCGCTGGCTCCTCGGCATTACCCTGGTTGGATTCAATCTCTGGGTCAAGTTGGATGCCCATCGTGTTGTCAAGGACTTTGCGTGGTATTGGGGCGACTTCTTCTACCTCATCGACCAGGATCTCACATTCGACGGTGTCTTTGAGATGGCTCCCCATCCCATGTACTCGATTGGTTATGCTGGCTACTACGGTATTTCGATGATGGCGGCAAGCTACGAGGTGCTCTTCATCTCTATCCTTGCCCATCTGGCTCAATTTGCGTTCCTTGTGACGGTGGAAAACCCTCATATTGACAAGATTTACAATCCTCCGGCCCCGAGGGAAAAGTCTAGGCCTCGAAGTCCGGTCGATTCCACTGTGGCATTTGATGTTTCTGCCGAGACTCCCTACTCAGGATCTACATCCATATCGCAGAAGGATCTACCAGAGCCTGTACACAATCTCGTCGGCCTCAGCAACATTGATCTCTTCCGAGTGCCCGACTGCGTGGTCGTCATTCTCCCAGTCTACGTTGCGGCCCTGGTTTATGCGACACCGGCGACATCCACGTGGAAGGCAATCTTCGTCGCCCATGCCCTTGCGTGGCGAATATGGTATCACGCTGGTCTCGGCTTCTTGTTGGATCAGCAGTCCAAGTCAAAGATGTGGACTCGCCATTTCCTCAAATACGGCGAGAGTGCTGGCGAGGCCTGGCGCCAGTGGAAAGGCATGTACCACATCAGTATGGTCATGTGCAACACTTCCTTCATCGCAGCTTGCTGGAAGATGTACAATATGCCCGAGGACTGGGGCTACGGCTTGGTCCTCTTCAAGCACGTTCTGGGCGCTGGGCTGATTGCTCTGCAACTATGGACAGCTTTCAGTGTATATGAGTCTCTAGGCGAATTTGGCTGGTTCTGCGGCGACTTCTTCTTTGATCACGAAGCTAAACTGACCTACACCTCCATCTACCGATTTCTCAACAACCCCGAAAGGGTCTTTGGAACCGCTGGCATCTGGGGTGCTGCTCTCATCACTTGGAGCCGAGCCATCTTCATCATTGCCCTGGTTACGCAAATTCTCAACGTCATGGTGATCGCGTTTGTCGAGCGACCCCACATGCAGAAGATTTATGGAAGAAGCATACGCCAGGAGGCGGGCCTTACCAAGTTCATCAAGCGATCACTGCCGCCTCCGGTCAAGGTATGGCAGGAAAGCGTCGACAAAGTCCTGGACGACACGACGCACTTTGTCGAAGAATTCCTGGACAGCGCCCGCCCCAAGTTCAGTTCTGGTGTTAAGACCATTGTTCGAGATACCACTGCTCTTTTCAACGTAGCACCCGCCCGCCTCACGATTACGAGAATTGCCCCTGACCTGGCAGGATTGGATCCTAAGCACTATTCACTCGATATTGAGGGAACGCCGTCTCTCCAGTCGGCCGTTGATGAGAGGGCTACCGGCAAAGAGAGCTTCTCGGGCCGCTTCCCTAAGCTTATTAAGACCAAGACTTTTGAGTACGGCGCTCCGCTCCGAGTCAAGTGGCGAGCCCCCGCAAACCACAGCAAGGAAGACTGGATTGGCCTGTACATGGTCACGGACAACCGCTCTCGAGAGACGACGGAAGTTTCTTCCCTCGGAAGATGGACGCCCACATGCACTGGCGCTTACGATGCCTCGACGGCAGATACCAGCATCACTGTTCAGGAACATCCCGTCCCTAAGTCCGATCCCTCAGACCCTGACATGGTGGAGGGTGAGGTTGTTTTCCAAGGAGACAAGCTGTGGTGGACGCAAGGTGTCTTTGAGTTCAGATATCACCACGATGGACGCCACACTGTCATGAGCATCTCGGAGCCCTTCGAAATCCGCATCAGCAAATTTACCGAAGATGACGTTGATACTGATGTCCGTACCAAGGCCGTGCTTGCCAAGGCTGTTGAATCGGCTCTTTTACCCATTGTCCAGAACTGCTTGGACCGTGACGATGACATTGCCCCAAGCACTGTGGATGAATCCTTCGGCAGTCATGTGGAGCGGGATGGCAAGTACGCAAAGAGAATCGTTTATGCCATCCGGGAGATGTTTGGTGTAGAGTTTGCGCCGGCTGTCGTCCTTGCAGACCGCAGTGTGAGGAAGCTGGCCTGGAGAATCTGCAATGCCAAGGAGGTTTTGGTAAGTCATTTTGCTCGTTTCTTCAAATGTGGTTGCCACCAGATCGAACTAACACAATTCGTTTTCTCTAGGCACCATACAGCATGTCCCACTCAAAGGGTACCGCGACCCCAGCAAATGAAGATATGTCGAAATAATGATCGATTTCTTGCATGTTCATGTCCTCGAGGATAGGATATAGAGGTAGAGATGGCGCAAGATGGTCAAAATTTATGATACCAAGGCAGGCGTCTAGGATATGCGTCTGGGCGATACTCGATAGATGTCAATGTAATCTGTTTGATACCCCATGTTACCGGGATGTTTGTTCATCATGTGCTTGATGGGAGCTGAGCCAGCAATGAGGATAGAAGATCGGTGGGAGTTCTCTGGCAACGGGTATCAATGCGATGCCAGCTGTCACTGCTCCCCCACAGACTTGTGCCTTGCATGAGGACGGCTATTCGGAAGGGTTTGGCCGAGGCGATGAAGGGCGATGAATCGCTTGGTGGGGGTCAGTGGCTTCGATACAAGGAGTTTCCCCATTGAATAACGATTTGTGTGAAGATAGATTGCGAATGTTAGTGACCTTTCAAGCTCATATAGATAACGCTTGAGGGATAGGAGATTGAACAGATGGCTAGATGCATCCAACAGAATGGATGGGAGAGTCTCCTTGCCGTGAATCTTGTGGTCCTGATTCTTGTCTTGGATCAATTTGGAGGTTTTACCTGAATAAACTCCGTACGGGGAACGAGATCGAATGGGAGCGTCAGGGGTGAGGCGGGCGGTATTAGTAGTGCTGAGGACAAGGCCCGAATGCGGCATGCGGGATGCGGGACCGGCGGCGGTGACGGGATGGTGGATGTTTTTGATAGATTATCAATGTTATACGTCTTGTCCATGTTTGATGTTTTCTTTGGGTATGCTTGGATTGGCGATGTGAGATGATGTTGAGGATAACTATAACATCAAAGGGGTCTGCATCTAGTTCCAGACAATTATTCCCCGTATAGAGAATACTAGGTACTTACCTCCCAATTCCAGACATCACGGTTGATATCCAGGGCATTCAGGTTAATGGATGCATTTCCCATGGCAAGCAATTCCCGTGGTTTTAGGCACTACTAGCTGTCAATGCCGTAAGACAAAAGGTAGTCACAGAAGCCGAGCTGACAGTTAACTCCCGTCTCCATCTGTCAACGTCGATTCAAAACTCCGCTCTCCGCAGCGGCTGACGGGAATAGACTTGTATCAGCCATTGCCCTAGAACATCATCAAGGCAAACGATACCAATATACAACTTCCGATAAGATATACCAAAGTGCTACGTAGCATGGCATTTCAATACTAAAAGCACCTCTGGGACCTGAGATATGGCCAACTCAATGTTAGTAGTAGTGGTCGTCTTATTTCACAAGCAAAAGACCAAAGAAAAGGATCGCTTCAGACCCCCAAATACCCTACCCCCACCTTGTCAGCAGCTTCAAGGGTTCTACTGAAAACATACCAGACGAACACCAAGCTGATCGTTTCCTCCTTCCCATATAGGCAGGCGATGTCACTGTAGCAATGCCTTCGTTTCGATTTACCTAATGTTGGCACTCGTCATCGCAAGCTTGCTTCGTTTTGTCGCATCTGGCCTTACGGATGTTCCGACGATAATACTACCTGCAGTCATATGTATGTCGCATGCAGGGAGCTTGTTCATTCTGCCAGGGACAAGATCTGCGGTGTGAGGTCTGACGGCGATTGGGGTAAAAGCCGCGCAGCAATTGGTGGGTTGCCGTGTTGTAACCTCAAATGCCCTGTCTTGGTCGTTGGAGAAGCTCGATGCCGATCTCATAAATAGCATGAATATTGCCTGAATCGTGTCTCACTTACTTTTCTGTCTCTCCCTTCTTCCCCTTGTGAGCTCAACCGTCGGCTTCATCTTCTCCTTGACAACTCATCCATTGCCCTCCTCTTGCCGTCACAGCATCGTCTTGCACAATGCCTAGCCGCCGCAACCTCCAGAAGAGCATCGTCTCAACCCTCCTCTGCGCCGGCAATCTCGCCTCTGCCAGCCTCGTCTACGTCTCTTCCTACTCTGAGACCGTGACGACGCTCAACTACACCCATGGCCAGAACACAGGCATCCAGAAGCTGAGCCCTGTGGCCGTGTCTCAGAGCTGCTCTGACAACCCCTCGTGGCTGACCCTCGACGCCACCGACTCGATTCTGTACTGCATCAACGAGGGCCTCAACACACCCGATGGTGCGCTCACTGCCTTTAAGACGAGTGGCAATGGTACTCTGCAGCAGCTGGGCCAGAGCGGCACGCCCAATGGCCCTGTGAGCGGCGTCGTCTTCGGCAACAACCGCCATGGTCTGGCCTTGGCTCACTAGTAAGTGCATCAGTTGAATGATTGAACGAAAAAAGTTGGCTGACCATATCTTCTTTACCTATAGTGGTGGCTCCGCCTTCACCACCTGGGACGTCTCCAACCCCAGCAGCCTCAAGCTCCTCGAGACCAAGAACTTCAAGTTGACTGGTCCTCCCGCCGACCCCAGTCGTCAAGATGCGCCTCACCCCCACGAGGCCGTTCTCGACCCTACGGGCAAGTTCCTGCTCGTGCCCGACTTGGGCATGGACCTTATCCACCTCTACTCCTTCGACCCCAACACCTTGGCTCTCAAGGACATCACGCCGGTCAGCGTCAAGCCCGGCTCGGGCCCTCGACACATCACCTTTGTCGTCAAGGGCAGCAAGACCTTTGCCTACCTCGTCACTGAGCTGGGCAACACCATTATTGGATACGATGTGACGTATCCCAACGGTCAGATCAAGTTGACCGAGATCTTCAACATTCCCAGCCACGGTGCGGGCCCGGCTGAGCCTAGCAGCCATGCCGCTTCCGAGGTTGTCGTTTCTGTAAGTTCAATGGCTCCCACCTGGGATACTTCCGTGTCCCAAAAGCATCAAGCTGACATACGTACGCCAGCCCGACACAAACTACCTCATTGTCTCCTCCCGCGCCGAAAACAGCAGCTCCATCCCCGACTTCGACGACCCTTCTCGCATCATCCCGTCCGACCCTCTCATCAACTTCAAGATCAACCCGACCACCGGACAGCTCCAGCTTTTGCAGGTCGTCCCCGCCGGTGGCCAGTTCCCACGCCAGTTTTCTATCAACAAAGAGGGCAACCTGCTGGCTGTCGGTCTGCAGGATGATGGCCGCGTCGTCTTCGTTGATCGTTGCCCCGAAACTGGCCTCCTCGGCGGTTTTGTTGCGTATGCGGATATCGAGGGCCAGATCACCTCGGCTATCTTTGACCAGAAATAGACGAGGGCAATGTTGGCCTCGAGCACTCTATAATTCTAGTTTAGTATAATGATGTATATATAAAGAAACATTCCGATCATCAATGCTGTTAAGTTGAGGAGGGATTGTCCTTCCCTTCCCTGCTTGTCAACAAACATTGCCCATAAACAAGTCCTACATCCAAACTGCATGTCTATGTTCTCTCTCCATGAAATCCAGTTGACTGCAGCTAGCAATTATAACCAACGTCTCGCTAACAAACGTCTAAGCTGGTATCAGTCACGGCGCCAGTGATTCCCTGGTGGCATGTGAATGATGGTTACATTGCAATGCCATCTAAGAATGCACAAGTGCGTCTCAATCAGTCGTGAAACGACGTTTGCCTGTACGCGTCCGAAGCACTACTGCATCTTTGCGTAGACAGACAGGCACAAGTCCATGCACGAAGGATATAGCACCATACATGGCATTAGTAGGTATATAGTGTATCGATGTCGGTATTTTGCGACCTGAGTCTCGCGTGAGAGGCGATTTTGGCGGCTAAAGAGACTGTGTGATTCGGTCCGATCCACCAATTGCTACTGTTGCAAACGTGATGCTCGAGATCATTGGTGAGATGATTTCATGCGATACAGTGGTTGTTTGGATAAAATCGGTGTCTTCGTATGTAGATGCAACTTAATCACTGTTTCGTCAATATGGCCATAAAAAGGTCCAGAGGTCACTTTTGCGTGTCATTGGAGTTGGCTTTGGGGTCGTTGAGAAGGTTGCCTAGTGGCGTCTTGGAGATTTTACCGTATCTGGAAATGTACGGTTTGATGGTGCGTATCCGTACCTTAGCAATGCTACCTCCAATGCCGCCTATCACACATTGCAGCTTGCCGCTAATGCTCGCTCACTTTTCAGTGACAATGAGCTAAGAGAAGCTCGCAGAGATTGCCAGATTCCAAAATACATCCTATATCTCTCATCATCAGTCTCGGATTCTTGGGAGACTTCTCCGGCGTCAACGCCGTGCCGTGGGCTCGGCAATGGACGCAATCTCAGGCCGTAAAGGTACTTCGTAGGCGCCGGTGGAGGCCCCGGGCCGGACGAGCGACGCCGCAAGGGGCCCGAGCCGCAGACTAGTTTGAAGGCTGATGATTCGACGGCCCAATCCCCACGTGAGGGCTCGAGTGTGTGTCCCATGAGGAGCTGCAGGGAGGAGTCAGAAGCAGCCTGAGGGCAGAAACTTGGTGGGAGGGTAGACATACTGACAGGGGCGCAGAGTCAGGTCATGCTGCCGCCCTCAAGCCTTCACGAACAGGGAGGGAGGCTGCCGGCACAGCCTAGAGAGTCACGAGCCGGCTGGCGAGGTAATGATTCGAGGAGAACGGATGGTAGAGATGCGCTCGAAACGCAGCCAGGATGCAGACAAGAGGTCCCTTGCAAAGATAGACAGACAGCACAGTGTGTTCATGCTCATGCATGTCGCTTGTGATGCCGCACTTTTCACTCGCTTCCGCCAGTTTGTTAGCGCTTCATGCAAGGTGAAGTGTGCGCTTTCATCGCATGCAGCTTGAGATTTGGTGATACTGCTTGGTGATAACGTAGGGAGATACATATGGATGGGGAAGAAAGGACATGAAGCCAGGCACCAGGATATCCAGGCACTGAAAATCTCTTATGGGTAAGAATCTTGTGCCTGTACCTTCCGAGTTACCAGAGGACCGAGTATTACGACTCTCGACGGGCAACTGCGCACGCTATCGAGTGGCAGGCAGCACCTTCCCATCGCCTTTCCCCTCCATCCCCACACGTGATGTTTGTCTCGAGCCAGCGTTACAACTCCAATTGGATGCCAACCATTTGACCATCTTCATCCTTTCCTGGCCTCTCCAAGCAGCTTTTTATCCTGACTTTCTTGCTTCTTGTTTGGACTGTCCGATCCGTGCAGCACAGCGTTATCCCTCGAAATCGACGCAGTTGTATCTCCGCGGTTCAGCCCCCAAAGTTCAGCCTCCCCAAGGGCCCCAAATTCGTCACTCCATCCCACGGCCTCTTCGCCTCTCCCGTCCCCTCTTTTGCGCAGCAAGCGCCAGCTTTAGCTCTGCTGCATCCTTTGTTTTGGCTTGTGTTTCGCAAACGCAGGTTCCGTGTCTCCATCTCTCAGGCAAACAGGAATTCACGCCTCAACCGCCATATTCATTCAAGTCTCTCGAAGGCTGGCTTATCTTGAGGCCTTGACTCCTCTTCTGAGGCGAATCCTCCCAACCAGCGTCCCTTGCCTTACAGCAGCTGTGAGGGCGACAACGAGCCAGTGAAACGCACGCACAGAGTCATAGCAGCCCAACCTGCGGCTCCTACTACGACGCAAGGCAGCATTCCCCTTGCGCCGCGGCTTTTTCTTCCTTCTGCTTTCCCTTCAACACCCCTCTTCCATTCAAACTTCTTCTGTTTGCTTGGTGTTCAGCCTCTCCAGGTCTCTCTTCTCCATTTCCCCATCCCCATCTCTCTCCCGCCCCCTCCCGTGTGCCTCTTTGGCGTCTTGTCGACGGCATCTTCGCATAGGCGGGCATGCACGAGTGACCCCTCAACTCCAAATAGGGTATTGTGGGATGCAATAGTTGCTGCAGCGTGGACGTTCCTGACTGGCCCACGAGGCTGCGATCGCTCCTGCATAACCCGACTGCACCATCTTTTCTCTCTCTTTTGCTTCTAATCCCCTCTCTTATTACGCCCCTCGAGAGCCGGGCTCCAAGAGACTAAAAGGACGGAACCCATACGAATTGGGCACCTTTTTTTCTGTGCTTCCTCTACGAGTGTGTGCGTGCCTGCCTTGGCTCACGCCCGATTCTCCCCGCCATTCTGTGCGCGCGGTAACCGAACCAACCGCCAACGCTGCTCGTCATTGTGATAAGCCGGAGGAATAAAACCAGCTCCAGACGCGAAAGACGACAACCGGGGGAAAGTCGCCCGCCAAAGGTCACAGCAGCTCGCTACCGTGACGTTCTCAACCCATACCCAAGAAGACGATATGAGGCTGGATTCAAGTCGAGATCCCGGTCCTGCCACTGTCCGGTCTGGACGACGAAAGCTCAGACCGGGAGAGCCGACTGACTGGAACCAGAGGGCCGATGATGCAGCTCCACAGCCTCATCCCCGTGGTACAGTCCAGATACAACGGCGGATGGATGGGGCGGCAGCACCTGCTCCTCCGCAGCTGACGATGCGCAGACGGGAGCACAACAACTCCAAGGCTATCGATGCCACTGCATCCGCTCCCGTGCCTGCGACGTCTGCCGCTGCTGTTGCCGCCGCTGTTGCAAGTGGTGGCCGCTCCAAGCGTGCACCGTGGCAACCAGGGCTGTCCAGGGCGGCCTCGGATGCCTACCGCCGCCCCAGCGGCACATTGATGGACTCGTACGACGGGGAGGACGAGTCCGCCAACGAGCAACAGGCTCCGCGCCGTGCGAGGAGGAACTCGTCACCTCCCAACAACGCTCGTCGCAGGCTCATGCCGGGGGCGTATTCGGAGCCCTCGACACACAGATCCGCAAGTGTTTCATCTTATGGCGGTGATGAAGAGGAAGATGACCACGGCCTCGAAGTAGAGGAAGTCGGCTCGTCTCGTCATAGCAGACAGCGGCTATCTAGCCGGGACGAGTATTTCGATTCATCGAGCGATAGAAACCGCCGCTATCGAAAGAGATTTACGCGACGGTATTATTCAGACAACGACAATGACTCCGATGGACCGCTTTCGGGGAGTGAAGCGTCGTCTACTTCACATACGCGAGAGTCTTCCAGGGTCCGCTCTAGGAGCGAATCACGCCACAAGGCTCAACGTTATCAGTTGACACACGTTATTGGGGACTCGCGGCCACCTGTGGCGTCCAGGAAAAGGTCTGTTCTTCTCCCAAACCCAGCACTTTTGGAGGTTAAACTGACGACTGCAGCTCCAATAATAAGTTGACAAGGCGAGCAACATCGGCAGGGCGAGCAACATCAAGAGCACGAGATGCAATAGAGTACAGGTCGGCAGAATCGGCCTATGAGGATCGAGATCCTCGAAGATCATTTACCATGCGGTCAGCTCGCAGCTTCAACGGCTCGACTTCTGGGCCCGCTCGTATCTTGGGCGACGTCTTTGGCAATGCCGCCTCCAGGCCTTCATCTCCGGACAAGTTTTTCAAGGTTGAAAAAGAGGCCAAGGCGGTAAAGAAAAAAGGGTAAGATGCCAACAGACAGTCTTCAAATGCAGACGGGTTGTGAAAGACTAACTTGTGACTAGAGTCCAATGCGTCATTTGTATGGAGGATACTCCATCCTCACAGGGAGCGGACTTGAAGTGCGGCCATCGAATGTGCAATGCTTGCATGAAGCGCAGTTTTGAAATGTCCATTCATGACCCGCAGCACATGCCCCCACGCTGCTGCACAAACAGCCACATCCCGCTCAAGCATGTCGATAAGTTATTTGACAATGCTTTCAAGATGACGTGGAACCGCAAGTTTGCCGAATACTCGTCTGGTAACCGGGTGTATTGCCCATCGAAGCGCTGCGGTGAATTGATCAAGCCGACTAGCTTCTATCGAGGAGAAGATGGTAGGAGAGTCGCCCGCTGCAGTCGCTGCAAGACCAAGGTTTGCCCAAGATGCAGTTCGAAATGGCACAGCTCTCCCGAGTGTCCTCGTGACGAAGAGACGAACAAGTTCCTGGATCAAGCAAAGGAAGAAGGCTGGAAGAGATGTTATAAGTGCAAATCTATGGTTGAGCTCAAAGAAGGATGTAACCATATGACCTGGTAAGTTGGCCTGCCTCCTCACTGGTCCCCCGCATACACTCCCTTTTCCTACTAACACTGCGCCGTACAGCCGATGCGGAGCCGAATTCTGTATGATATGTGGTACCAAATGGAAGCAATGTAGCTGTCCATGGTTCAACTACGACAATGGAAACAATCCGTGGGAGAATAACCCGATACAGGATCTCAATATCCCAACGGAAGACCTGAGGAAAATTCTTCGGAAGAACAGGCCGAGCTCGATGGAGGAGCTGCGATCCTATGCAAGACCGGCTTCCTCGATGCCCGCAGCAGCACGGCAACGGCCTCGGGAGTACGATGAGGAAGAAACGATCCTTCGCCGACTTCAAGAAAAGAGGGATGCGGATTTCTCAAGGAGACTGCAGTTCTCTGATGATTACGACCAGGATCACGACGATGAATCCGATCAGGACCACGACCGCGACCGTGATCGTGAGCGTAAACAAGACCGTGATCGTGACCGTGACCGTGACCGTGACCGCGATCGAAAGCGGGATCGTGATCGTGAACGGGAGCGCGAGCGTGAGCGGGAGAATCCCTTTGCTCCAATCTCACCAGACGTTGAAGAGGATGAAATGGACTATGGGCTTAGCGGCGGCAAACATCACGCAATGGAGGATTATAGACGGACCAGCATGCCAACTTTGCCTACTGCAGCCCCGGCCGCACAGCCGCAGCCTTACAGTAGCTACGTTTCCGAGGTCAGTCGTGCCAGGGGACCGCAGCGTAGCGGATCAATGGAGCAACGTCTAGCCGATAGGCTGTCAGAGAACCGCTCAGGCCGCCGGTCGAGAGGCCCTTCTCCTCCCCCAGCGCCGGCCATGCGACCTCATGTGCTGCATACGAGAGATGCCACCGCGGATATGGGAATCGGCATGGCATTGGGGGCGATGGGCAGAGGCTCCATGCCACCACCGCCTACCTATGGCCCCGTACCGTCGATGCCGTCGCCCGGCCTGATGAGGTCCAATCCTTTTGGAGGAGACGCGTACTACGAAAATGCGTACACGACAGCGCCAAGGTCTGTTCATGAGCCGTATTACTACGGGGGCATGGAAACTGCTGAGACTGAACGTCCAGCTCCCCGGCGCAAGTCCCGACGCAGTGGCGAAGAGCGCGAGAGGCCCAAATCATCGACCTTGGCGGGACTGACTGGATATGGACGAGGTTCGCACCGCGTGCACGAGTGGAGGAATTTTGTTGAACCAGGAGTTCCTGACGAGTAAGTTGAGTGAGCGTGTCTGGATAGGTAATGAGGTTTTTTTTCAATGTCACCAGAATGTAAGAATGACATCAAGTTGCTGCATCCTTGGGCGATTCTCTGTGAACTTCGATGACTGTATAGGATATTACCACTTGTCAAGGGGCTTTCTCTTTCATTATGTCTAGGACATGATGCCATGTCAAAGACAACACCGTAGGGTTATTTTCTTTCCGTTTGCCTCCTCGTCCAAGCCATGTGGGACAATGATGGAAATCGGATAGGAGACCTCCACTTCTTGTTCTAGGAACCAGGTAGACTTCTTATAGAAGCAACATTCCAGAAGCCCAATGCTCAAACCAGATCCCCTGTTGGAAAGCTTCATTTTGATATACGAAGTCCGCATGAAGTGCAAGGAAGTCTACATCGTACTTTACCTCGCGTATCCTGTCCATTTCACATGCCAAATCAGAACCCAAAACGGTCAGGTCGCGTGACGCCACACACCGCCCTCCCCAAGGAATCAACGAACAGAGACTCGAGCGAGAGGGACTTGTATTGGCGTGTGGCTTGCCCCGAATACCCTTTCAGGGCGTGGGTGGCTAAAAAGGAACAAAGGAGCAGAGGAACAGAGGCGTTTTCTGGCACGCTAAAATCCTGGGAGATTTTAAGAGGATAACATGGAACGTTGAAAAGATGTCAGACTGCTGCGTGTTTCGATGACGGCAGAAGCGTATCGCAGATCCCTTTTGATGGGGACTTGGGGGAGCTCAACGGCGCCGTCTTACAGGCAAGGCAAGGTAGCGTCATATTCCGGAGCCTTGCAGCCAGTGATCCAAACGACAGAATTGGGCTTCCCGACAGATCCGTAGGGACGGGACTCGATAAGTATCAAACGTCTGGGACTGGAAAATGGGAAATGGGGAGCAGACGGGCGCGTGGCCTTTTAGCAGCTGCATCGTGAATCGCAGCGAATTAGAACAAGCTTAAAGGAGTGGCGGGTTACTGCGCACTTGGTCCGGAGTGCAAATGTGCCCCGTACTCTGTACCACTTGTCTCCCTGCCTTGACGTGCCAATTTCTCTTCAGCAAACCTTCAATGCAAAGTACCGGCTCCAGTTACGCCACCGTCCAACCTTGCTTGCAACGACTAAACCAAGCCCACCGACCTACAAACCAATTCCCTTTTCTTTCTTCGCTTCTTCCATTCTTCCTTGAACTCCCTTCAACCCTTTGCACCCCAGCACGTGTTTAAATTAACCTTGAAATGAGCGTGCGGCCCGTCTCTGTCTGCCCGCGCATGATCATATCGGTTCGCATCGGATACCAGGCTAGAGGACTGGACGTTTAATGCGTCTTTGATTCGAGGCTCTACCTACCTTTCTCCATACCTGTCGTCGGAGCCGCTGCTCATATCTGTTTCTCCTTTAATTTCATCTACTATTTCTCTTTCATAGCCGGACACTTCGAAACTCACTGCAGGCAACGGTCTCGCGATCCTCGCATCCTCATCGCTGCATTGACAAACCGGACCCCACGATTGCACGAGTCGAGCGGAACGAACGAAACACATCCAAGGTGCTGACAGAGAACAACCGTATAAGACTAGGCGGGGCTACAGAGGCGGCCGGATAGCGAAGAACGGCAGAGCATCCGGAAAGATGCTCCTCCTCCACCAGACGGGCAGCGTCAAGATTGGCGAGGTCGTGCGCTACACGGTGACGTACACGCCCTCGCAGGACCGCATCCTGCCGTCGCCGGAGCAGCTGTTCGTGCGCATTCGGAACACGTCCAACATCGCCCTGCGAGCGGCGTTTGTCCACGGCCCCTATACGCTGAGCGTGGCGGCGTATCCCGCAAAGTTCAACCCCAACGAGAAGTTCCCCAGCCCGCGCCGCTATGGTGTGCCCGAGTTCGAGCCCATGCTCAAGGCCGGCGGGACGTGGGAGTGCGAGCTGATCGTGCCGGACGACATTCGACAGGCCGCGGGCACGGGCAGCCACGGCACGTTTGGCAAGGGACCAGAGCACGATTCCGAGAACGTCAGCTGGATCATTGAGATCTCTTCGCAGGTCATCTTCTCGACGTCCGCGGCCGTGGGGTACGAGCTTCTCGTGGCGAGAGAGCAAAAGTCGCTGAGCCTGGGCTCCTCGCTGCCCGTTGTCGGTGGTCAAGCCCAGGTACCGCAGCCGGGGAAGCTGGTGGACCATCAGCAGAGCATCGGGGCCAAGGACGGGCATCATCCGGGGCAGCCTCGCGGGGTCTTCTCGCGGGCGATACACGTCAAGGTGGAGGATACGGGGACGCTATGGAACACGCCCCGGCTACCGCAATGGGACGATGCTGGCGATAAGAGAGTCGACGACGCTTCCGGTGCCGACAAGCCTGTCGAGAGCATGGTCAAGACGGGCGATCCGGAGACCGAGGAAAGGAAACCTAATCAACGGAAGCAGAAGAAGGTCCACCTCGTCATCTTAACGCATGGCCTACATAGCAATTTAGGCGCCGATATGTTATTCATGAAGGAGAGCATCGATGCGGCTGCGAGGCAGGCAAAGATTGATAGAAAGGCGAGACGAGCCAAAGACCGTGCAGAAGCTGAGGCCAACAACGACAATAAGACCAAAGACGGATCGTCTTCATCAGCAGGGAGCGACGAGGAGGACGAGGATGACGAAGAAGAGGTCATTGTGCGAGGATACTCTGGGAACGCCACCAAAACGGAAAAGGGTATCAAGTATCTCGGCAAGAGGCTGGCGAGGTATGTCCTCTCCATGACATATCCGGATCAGCCCTTCTTGCCGATAGGAGGAAAAGGCGCGCTCGAAGGGTTCACGCACGGGCTCGGCGATCAGGCGGCGCATGAGCTGGTGAAAGCCCATAAGAACAGCACCATCATGAAGGAGGCCGACTCGGAGGGAGCGCACGACCACACCAAGATTCAGAGGCCTTACAAGGTCACGAGCATCAGCTTCGTCGCACATTCGCTGGGTGGACTGGTCCAAACGTACGCTATTGCCTACATACAGAAACATTCGCCGCGATTCTTCGACCTTATACGGCCCATAAACTTTATCGCTCTGGCTACTCCTTTTCTAGGCCTGAGCAACGAGAACCCACTCTACGTCAAGTTTGCGCTCGATTTTGGCCTCGTGGGAAGGACAGGGCAAGATTTAGGCCTTACATGGAGAGCTCCGACGATTGCACGCAGCGGCTGGGGCGCCATAGTGAGCAATCTCGGGGAGTCTGCTCACAAAAAGGTCTACGGAGAATCACAGCCCGAGTCCAAGCCTCTGTTGCGCATCCTGCCCACGGGGCCGGCGCACATTGCTCTCAAGAAGTTCCGGAACCGGACGGTCTATTCCAACGTGGTGAATGATGGCATCGTTCCGCTGCGTACCAGCTGCTTGCTATTCTTGGACTGGCAAGGCCTCGGACGTGTCAACAAGGCAAGGCGAGACGCTGGTCTCGTGGAGACAGTGGTGGGCTTTGGATGGGCGGAGCTCACGGGGGCCAACATGGTATCCTCACGGTCAAAGCTGCAGATTCCCCCAGACGACATCGAGACAGACTCGGGAACGACGACTCCTAATGGTGAGAGCAGCAACAGCAACAGCCACCAAGTACCACAGCCTTCCAATGATGCCATCGCTGAAGACGACCGGGCCAGTCTCCGCTCATCAGCCCCAGCGGTATACACCGAAGAGCAACCACTGGAAAGCCCGGGAGAGAGCAATCCGCTTCACACTCCACTCACAGGAATCTTCAACTTCTTTAGGAGTAACGACCCCCCGAAAGAGCAGGCCGTGACGGAGAAGCAGAAGCGGATCTTGCGTAGGAGCCAGACCCTCAAGAACGGCGGAGATGCCTCCAGCACGGCTGATAGCACCGACTCGTCGGACACGGGCAAGCGATCGGGCAAGGCTACGGCAGGGCTTGAGTTTGAGAATGATCCGGTGAGGGCGCCCCCAAAGACGACATTCTTCGAATCCGCGGGCGACCTTCTTAATCCCAAGATTCCGGATGTTGAGTGGCTCATTGATCCGTCGAAGCGGGCGCGAACAATCTTTCACGACCGAGTGTATCATCCATCGGACATTCCACCACCGCCCCTGAAGAAGCGGACCTCAACACTGAGTAAGATGAGGATCAAGTCTTCATCTTCGTCGCTGCATTCCCCAAACGGCAGTGGTGCTTCGACGCCGCATGCAGAGATCAACCATGAGGATTCGATGGCCGCCTCGGTCAAGGATTACGACGACACGGCCAACACGGGCCCCGAGAAGCAGCCCAATGAAATTGTTGACGGCTCGGCCATGCGTGTTGAGGAGAAGATTTCGCGCGGATACCACAAGGATCTATCGTGGCGGAAGGTGCTTGTCAAGCTGGAGCCGGATGCCCACAACAACATATTCGTCCGGCGCATGTTCCCCAACGCTTATGGCTGGCCAGTCATCAAGCATTTGGTTGATGCGCATTTCAGCGACTCGGCTGTTTCCCGAATGCGCACCGAGGACGAGCATATGGGCGAGCGGGCTCTGGATATTGGCCAACCTCCTGGGGCAGACGGCCGAGAAACCAAGACAGTGTCTATGCGGCAAGCTCGGGGTCTTATGCCGGAGCCGACAAATGCGAGTGAGGCGCGGGAGGCGCTCGACGAGGTGCCTGACCTGCCGAAGACCCAAGACACTGATCGGTCTTCTATACAAAATCACCCCCATCAAGGAGATAGGGGCGATTCGATGTCGTGGAGCGAACGGGACTGGGCGAGCAGCGAGAACGAGGACGATGCCGACTTTATGAACGATCTAGCCGGTGACAAGAAATTGGAGAAGGCAAAGGAGAGTGGAGGGAGACTGAGTCCTTCGTCGTGGAACTGGACAGAGAAGATTGTGGGCAAGGGGGCTATGAAGTCGAGAAGCAAAAGTCCGACGACGCCGACGACACCGACAACGCCGACAATGCCGAAGCCGGCAATGCTGAAACCGGCAGGGCCTGGAGAAACTGCGTGAATGTGAATGAAGAGTGTGGCACTGTTTCAGTTTTATTGTATGAGTTGTGTGAGCGTTGTGGGTTTCAAGCGAAATGTTACCTTCCTTTGAGACATGATATACATGGCATACATACGGAGTATACTGTGGGTTCTATGGGTATAGTAGACGGTAGAGATTAAACAGGCAGCATTGAAATGTATGAAAAAAAAAATGCACTTGGGTTTGGGTTGAATTGCTCTACTTGAGTGTCACTGAGATATCAAGGTGAGGCGTGGTAGGTAAACTGCAAAAATGGACAAAAAAAAAGACAACGATGGACGAACGGGGAATCGAACCCCGGACCTTTCCCATGCGGGTAGTGGCAACTTATGAGGTCGCACTATGCTAAGGGAAAATTATACCACTAAACCATCCGCCCATTTGCTGATGGAGAGACAGGGCGCAAATTGGCTACATGAGGATTCTGACGGGCGAGCGAGTTGAGCCATGATTTGGAAGTCGAAATAGGGTAGGTCGGTTGGATATGGGCATGGCGTTGAGGTGGAGGAGTGGTTCAGAATAATGAGAAGAAGCACGGTGGTATGTGCGTTGGTGAAGTATTTGAATTGCTCAGCATCGAGATATTTTGGGAAACGGGTGGCTAGATGAAGTAAACTGTGTTGTTGTGACGTTTCTTTCTCTTGCCGGTAATGTTTTATCTGGTGTTATTGTTTTCAGAGTTGTGGTTCTATCCGCCACTTAAGCTCCACTGAATATACGACCGAGATAGACTCAGTTACCTGATTTCACTGTTCCCCATCTATGACAAAATCAAGTCAACCTTGCCAATTTCCTAACCCTCCAATCAGCCCAATGCATTTCTTCCAGACTTCTCCCATGATGCCCATGTGCGTCACTGTTTGGCCTGCGCTGTCTGGCTCCCTCCTTCCCAGGACTAAGCTCCCGAATTGAGTTTAGCTTCTTGGTTTTTCTTCCTTCCCTCAATGCATCACAGAGAGCTTGCAGAAAGAATATCGTAGCAGCGTTTCGATTCTTTCTGTTCCTTCGCCTTCGCCCACTGCTTCGTCTCCCTTTTAACTGTTTAATTCTCTTGTCTTCAAGCTGACATTTATTCTCTGATCTCGTGCAATCAGTTTCCTCTTGTTTCAAAGTAGTCAATGGGCTCGACGGTCTCTTGCGGCGCAGCGTTTTGACCCGCTTGTGACGTCTTCAGCTGCTAGCAAGATCCAAGCTTAGCTGCCTACCAACTTCAGAGGGCACATTTGATACCACTTCTTCTTCAACACTACACCTTCTCACACAACAAGATACCCCCAATCCGAACCGAAGCAATGAGGCTCTACCTCCTCCCCGTCTCCACGAGGCGCACCCTCCTCTACGCTCACCGCGTCAACACCGGCAGCACCGCCGCCCACGACGGCTCCCTCATCGACCGCGGCGCCGCCTTCGCCGCGCGCAAGTGGGCGCAGTGGGAGAAGATGGAGCGCGGCTGGCAGCGCAAGGTCGTCGACTACGGCAACCACGCCTTCCGGCGCATCCCCTTTGAGGAGTGGGGGCTCAAGTCGGTGCCGCCGCTGTCGGCCCGGCGCCGCGAGGACGAGCTGCGCGGCCGCGACCCCGTCCAGCTCGTCTTCCCGCCCGCGGCCATCCCCGAGCACAAGGCCGAGGGCGTGGTGAGGCGGCTGGCGACGGAGAGGCAGGCGCTGCATCGGCAGAGGCTGCTGTGGTGCTTTGTGGGGATGCCCATTACGGCGCCGTTGGGGCTGGTTCCTCTGTAAGTGATACAACAAAGCCAAATGAGAAAGAGAGAAGAGACACAAAACTAACAGAGAGCGCAAACAAAAAGAGTCCCCAACCTCCCCTTCTTCTACCTCGTCTACCGCGCCTGGTCCCACTGGCGCGCCATCAATGGCGGCAAACACATCCAGTGGCTCCTTCAGAACAAGCTCCTCCAGCTCGCCCCCTCTAAGGAGCTCGACCAGCTCTACACGCGCGACGGCCAGGACCCGGACGTTGAGCCCTCGGGCAAGGAGCAGATGCTCATCACCCAGAAGCAGATCCGCGACTTCTCATCGACGCTGGACCTGCCCGCCGTCGAGATCGAGCTCGAGAGGGCGATATGGCAGGTTGAGCGGGCTTTGGGAAAGGAGCAGGAGCAGGAGCAGGAGCAGCAGACGCAGACGCAACAAGCCGAAAAGACGTCGGCTGTCGAACAGGACAAGAAGGATAAGCAGTCATGAACTGAAGAAGGGGTTGTGACGGAGAGGAAGAATGATAATGCTGATGAGTCAATGACCAAAACAAAGAAAAAATGTCAATGGGCGGGCTTTCATGAACAATGGATTGAATATTTTGGGTTCACGTCTACATAACGGTATCGAAAGAGGCAGAGGGGTGTTTTATCATATACACTGGATCGGATAGACTGGCAGCGGAGAGGGTGTTGGGCTATACAAAATCTCCATCTAACGACATGTTCTCTTCTCTACCTACCTACTTTTACTTACCAGAGGGGAAACACACTCTACTTTACAAATTCTCAATTACTCCGTACTGGAGAGTTGCTGCCATGTTGTCCATCCAAACTCAAGGTCGCGAGTAAAAAGAAGATGCCTGAATTGATTAACTAGATTACCAAAACAATCTGGCTGCACATTACACAGGCTCAGTTCTCTTCGGATGTATCAAAACACATCCCAGTTGCTTACGCATTGAGCAGTATCAAAGAAGAAAAAACGAGCGATTAGTAGTTGTATTGAAGCCCTCTCCAACGCCAGTTTAGATTAGGTTGTAGCCAAACGTGTCTCAATAATTCACACTCTTGTTCTTTGCAAAATACCCATAACCTTTACAAAACAATGCCCATGCAATATGCTTAGCCAGAAGCAGCGAGGTCAGAGATGAAAGTGGCCTCCGTGAAGAGCTGGCCATCCTCGCTAATCTCCTCGTCGCCAACCTTGAGCTTCAAGGTAGCCTTGGGAGCGTACTGCGAAATACAATTAGCTTCGCCAATATGACGGATCAGTGAGGTTGTACACACCTGGTAAATGTAGGGCTTCGTTCCGGCGGCCGCTGCCACGATCGTCTTGACGAATCCGGGCACCTCGGCCATGACGTCAACCCTGTCGACCCGCTCGCCCAGGGCAGCATCGATGGTGGCCGTCACAGGCTTGCCGTCCTTGCTGGTCACGGACCAGTCGAATTGCACCTGTGTGGGTTCGGGCCAGTCGCTGGTGGTGTCCTTCTTGGTGGCCTTGTGCGTGGCCTTGTTGTTCTCGGTGCTGACGCCAATCAGTTCCCCGTCCTTGACGAGGGCGCCGACGTTGACCGTGGTGTTGCCATAGGATGGAGGAGTGACAAACTCCATCATGATGGCAGTGTGGTTCGGGCCCTGGAAGTTGGCAAAGTTCCACCGCGCGGCGGCGTGGTGCGGCTTCATGCCCTGTAGAGCGTAGATGTAGATGGCCTTGCCCTTGAGGTCCACGGGGCCGTCCTTGGTGGTAATGGTGCCCTCGGCCGCACAGCGTGGCCAGAATGCGTGACGCATCGAGCCCCAAGGGTTCTTGAGATCTGTGCCATACAGCGAGGTGCCCGTCTTGCCGGCATGGAAGCCGGGCGCGGTCTTGGTGATCTTGACGTTGACAAGGGCCCGCTCGTCATTCATGCTCTTGATCGTGTATGAGTTGCCGTCCTCGGACAGCTCGACGGCGCAGTCATCGGCGTAGAAGGATGTCTTGTCCTCGCTGAAGCCGACGTTGCTGAGGGGGTTCGAGCACCAGAGGTGCGGCTTCGCCGGATCACGGGAGAAGATCTTGGTATTGAACTGGCAGGTTACCTTAAGGCCGCTGGAAAACGAAAGGACAAGAGTCAGCTGGGTTGGGTATTGAAAATCGTGTAATTGGGCTGTAGATGGGTGTCTCATACGCGACGTTGCTATAGATGACCTGGCAAAGGGCAATGGTGCCGTCCTCGGCGAAGATGTAAAAGACTTGGTTCTCGACACATGTCGAGTCCATCGCCAGCCACTTGTGGTCGGCTCTGGTCAACTCGGTGTAAGGAGTTCCCGTCTCCTTGGCCTCCTGGGCCACGGTCTTGATGGCAGTCGGGCCATAGATGGGCTCTTGGGTGCCGGCGACGTTGGCCAGCCTAAAGCATCACAGCTTTTCGTTAGCAATGCCGTCGTTCGATTTTTTGGGCAGACCCTTGGAGGGGCGGACAAGGGGGAGGAATGGCGGGGCCTGTGCTCTCTGACAGTTTGATACTTACTGCTGCTTTGCCCAGTTGAACATTTTGGCGGAAACGAGTATCAAACAACGATGGGATCTGGAAGATGACAGGCGGCGGTGTTGAAGGTCGAGAGAGAAGAGACGTTGGAGGTTGAGATGGAAGATGGAGAACTGATCCTGCCTTGCCGGACGGTTGCGAGGTACATGCGTGCTAAGCTGCTGGTCCGCTAAATTCAAGCTCAGCCAAGGTCACCCAGCCGAAGGTGGCTACAACCTTCAAGGTTCCAGTTTGGAGCACGGCACCTGCAACCGTCCGCTGCGGTTGGGCGTCTACAGCGGCGCACACCGCTGAAGCTGGAGGGGCAGCTGTGCTAGAGCACCTGCGATGAGGTGCTAATGACGCTGAAGAGGGCCTGTGGCTTAGGCACTACGCAGAAATTGCCGGGTGGGTCGATGGCAAAGGGGTTGTGGCTTGATGGCCACATGTGAGGTAATGTGAAGTACTCCGTACCTTGCTGGCCTTTTCGAAGAGAAGCCCAACAAAGACGAATCGGAGGTGTGTTGCTGTACGAGAGAGACCTGGTACGCCATTGCTTTTCAGCCTATGGGGGCGATCATGACAGATCGGAGCCTTAGTTCTGCCTAATAGCAGCTGCCGGGCCCTGTCATTGGCAGGTAAACCGCTTGACCTCCAACTGGCATCTGGACAGCGTTACCCAGTCGGAGTTGTGATATCAGAACTCTGATATGCGATGGAAGGACGTGATTGCATCGGGTTCCAATTCCGCCGGCACTTGCGGCCCAGTAAGTGAACAGAATGCACGTCGGCTTGATTTAGTTGCTGCCAGCTTATTACGTTTGACCCGAAACCATAGAGAAGCAGCAGCGTCCAACCAGATCCACGGTTGTGCAAGCTGCGATTACTACCCGTACCTGCCAGTAGTGGGCAGATACGCGTTATCGACGCAGCTCTTATCGCCTAGCCGGCACAGGTTCACCTCATCAATGTCATTATAAAGCTTCGTTAGACACAGAAATCCACCATCAGCGTCCTTCATCTCGTCTCGGACTCGTAAGACCCCCAAGGCGAGCTTCACAAAAGAGCAACAGCAAACCCCTCACTCTCGCTTGCCGCCGTTGGAGGGGCACTGGCAAATATGGAGCTGATCAAGTGCCAATGACATGCATCCACGACTGTCATCTGCATGCAGCGACACTCATCAGACGTACCTACATCGAGTTTGGCGATGCTACAGGCTCGCCGGCGCCGTGTCTATCAGCTCGACCCCTCTCCTGGCTCCCCTCTCCCGGACATGCGCGCTCTATCGTGGCACGGCTAGATATCTGGCAGGAGGGCAAGAGCAGCGGCCAAATCACGATCCCGGACAGGCGCGGTCGTGGTCGATGCTGTCGATGCTGTTGTCGCTGCCCGCTGTCGTTGTCGTTGTCAACACCGTGGTCGTGATTGCTGTCAAGGTCGTTGTCGAGGGCGTGGTCATTCACCGTGGACTTGTTGTCATCTTGTCATCAACAACAGCAACAACAACGGTCGCTGCAAGGTCGTCTTGGAGTGGGACACAGATCAAGATTGGGATACAATGCTCAGGCTGACGAGGAATCATAAGGCTGCTGGTGAGTCTTGTTTAAATTAAGTCTGCGGTTCTTCATGCCCGTCCTGGCCAATCAGCGCCTGCCGCGGCCGCAGCCAGGCATCACTTCAGCGTGAATTCGGGCTCTGGCCAACGCAGCTCTGTCACTGTACAGCGCACACGCCGCGCCCGACAGCCAAAAAGCGCCTCTGCCTGGCGGGCTCAACGCGCGCTATAAGTACCAGTACCCAGGCTGTACAGCTCCTGCTGCATCGGCGAGGTACCTTTTGCGCTTGCACGCTCAGTTGGGCCAGTTCAGGTGTGGTCCTACCGAGCCCCTCCCTCGAGCGCGTGCCTTCCCAGGATTCTTACCACTCGTATCCGGACTTCCTGCTGCGTGTACTCTGTACTCCGTACCTTCCCTCCCACTTGCATTTCCCAAGGGGGAACAATAATTACATCGCGATACGCCTCCAGGCCCTTTACTGCTTTTTCCTCTTTTTCCCTTTTCTCTCTTTCTCTTTCCCCCACGCTTCCCGTGCCGCGGTCTAGCCTCAATCTGCCGCAACTCCGCCACGCCCAGCGCCTTATCCTTACATCATCATAGCGCGAGACGAAATCTGCGATCCCGCGATCTTGTGGCTGGTGCTCGATTTCTCCTGAAAAAAACAGCAACCACCCTTGGACGATTAACGGGAACAGCTTCACTCCCGGCTTCGATCAACGCTCTTCACGCTGGCGACCGTTCAGACTCGCTCACTGCCTTGTTGGCCCTCATCTACGCTCCTGCACGCCCTGCCGAATCCCTAGCCAGTATGGAAGAAGCTCAAGTCCTGCCGCCGCCACCGATCGAGCCCATCTCTCGACCAAGCTCGACGTCTACTTCTGCATCTGCCAATGTGCAGCAGTTGCCCGGCATTGCCTCCCTTGCAGCAAGCAACGCGACGGCTGAAGCTCCACAGCAAAGGTATTGCACCTGCATCCGAATTTGAGAGCATGCGTCCATACAATGCCCTCTGTTGTTGTGACACGCTGGTGGCTGGTTTGGCATCTCGAGCACTGGATCACAAGATAATTGGGACTGACTCCTCGCGTCCACTACCTAGGGCACCTCCAATTCCTCAGCCACAGCAGATGTATCATGGCGTCTCTCCTGCGGCCACCAGTGGCGGCACAAACGGCAATATGGTATGTCCATGTTTGGTTTCCTATCGCCCTCTGTTTCCCCCTTCCTCTGTTATCCCTCTCCCGTCGACCAAGTTGTCGCTGCTCTTGTTGCGCCGCCAACACCAGAACTGCCGATGCGGCAGCGGGCCAATTAGAGCCGGCATATTCCAACTTTTACATCTTATCTCATATCATAATCGCAAATCACGTGCCTTATCGCAAGAATCTTCACTCCTAAGCCTAAACCGGCAAGCCCCACCAACTTCTGCCCAGGTCTATCTTGGTCTTATCGGTCGACCGGGGCCAAGTTTTTTTTCCTCTGTTCCGTCATCCTTATCGATCATGATAATATTTATCGGCCTTTCTCCCTAATCGATTCCCTAATCGCATTCCCCAAATCATCCAGTACTAGCCGGCAACATGATGGCAACTAATGCTTCTGCGCAGCCCGTCTGCCAAAACTGCGGAACGTCGACAACGCCGCTATGGCGTCGCGACGAGTTTGGATCTGTCCTGTGCAATGCGTGCGGACTTTTCCTCAAGCTGCATGGACGACCACGACCGATATCTCTCAAGACGGACGTTATCAAGAGCCGAAACCGCGTTAAGACGATGCGACCGGACCTTGCTCCTAAGAGAAAGGTGAGTGCCACGCTCGACGCATTTCCAGCCCATGGGTTTCTGTTTCTGACCACGGCGCCTACCACAGCAACAACAGCACGGATTTCCCCTTGCGACAGACCCCAATAGCGCCGAGAACACTGCGGCGCAGGCCGTTCGCAGAGCGCAGAAGATGAATGGTGAGGGCCCCGAGTCGCCCATCTCGCGGACCGGGACTCCCTCCATGTACAACCACTCAATGCCGTCATTCATGGTCGACGACCCGTCCCAGGCAGGCGTTGCCGGCTTCAATGGAGAGGGACGCGCCGGCTCACCCATGAATGGAGACCGGGGGCTCGAGTCTCCACAGACGCAGGAGCAGCTCATTGCCAACAATTCCAGCCTGAAAACCAGAGTCAGAGAACTCGAATTTATCAACGAGCTCTTCCGTGGCCGTCTGAGCCAACTCGAGCAGCAGGAGGCGGCTGCATCTGCGGCGCTCAGGGGCCAGGAAGTCGCTGGTGTCGAGCACACTCAGCTGCGGGCTCAGTTAGATGCAAGCAAGGAGGTTGAAAATCAGCTTCGAGCTCAGCTGGAAGACAGCCACCGAAGAGAAAACAACCTCAAGCGACGTCTCGACGAACTGGAGCTTGAGTTGCGGGCTGCGAAGGAGGCCCTGTCTGAAGCTGACTCGCGGCCCTACAAGAAGCCTCGCACCATCGACTCTGAGGAGGCCGTCAAAGCAGAAGCGGCCGATGCCTTGGCTGCGGTCGCGGTTGCTGTCGCGCCGGAGCTAATGATGGACGCTCACATGGCAGAGGTGGCTGCTGAAGAAACCGTCACCGAAACTATTGAGGCGTCGTCGGGCTTACCCATGGATGGCGCTGTAGAGGCATCTGCGGAAACAGTTGTTGAAACGCACACCGAAACGCACACGGAAGTTACGACGGAAGAGGCAGCGCAGCCTGCTGTCGAGCCAACTGCAGAGCAGGCCTTGGAACCGACTGCAGACACGACCACCGACGTGGCTGCTGAGGACACTGTTGAGCCCACTGCCGAATCAGAGGCAGAGCCGGCTCCAGAAGCTCCCGAAGCCGCGGCGGCGGACGCAGACGAGGCTGCCCCTGAACTGGAGGGTGCTGCGGCCCCCGCCGAAGTCGTTGCGTGAATGCTTCTTGATTTTCACTCGCATGCTTGCCGACTCGATCATTTCTTTTTCTCCTCTTTGCCCCAGGACGTGGTAACGACGGATGTGCACTGAATGTTGACGAATCTTGCTCATTTTAATACCCTTGTACGAAATCCGATCTGATGCCAGCTGCATCAGATCTACTCATTCTTTCGCGGTGCCGAAACGACGAAAGCAAAAAGTCTTGGCGTTTGACGGTAATTCTTTTCTTTGTTGTCGCCTTGTGCGGCTTATACTCCACATTTTCCTACAATACTTTTAATAGATGACCTGGGATGGCTTTAATGCGGGCAAACACGGTTGGTGAGGCAGGTGTGAGAGACAGTGAGCAGTGGTATACCCTCGTTTGGACCTCGAAGCTGCACGAAAATGCAGTTTCAGGATGGAGTTTCCTTATGAACGGCGGAGGAGTAGGGAGCCTCAGGGCGTCTGGAAAAGATCAAAAAAAGGGGGCCAAGGCTGGTGTCGAAAACAAACAAAAAAGTTGACTTTGTTGTTACCAACAAAGATAGGTACTCGTTAGAGCCAATTCTGCGCTTCGATGCTTAGCGACCCCGTGTGTCGATTACGCCGCGTTTATTGTGTACAGCCGTGTCGTCTTTGTTGTAACATCGTGATATCTCCCGCGGCGATGCTCCACATGCACCACCACTTTAATAGCTCTTCTCAGCCTGACGATCCACCAGCCGTCTAATTTCAGCTATCGAGCTCGGGTTACCATATCGTCAATACCCTACTTTGTAGGAATGGGAAACAAACAAAGGAAATCCAACATTGAAAGTATTGAGACCGTAATTTCAAGGCCTCTATCGCAGTAAGTCACGTGCCCCGCTGCATGTTGGGCGGTTGGTGCCTCCTTCCCAAAGATCAACTCACTTTGAGAAGTCACGGCCAACAAGCAAGTTCCGACAAGTTTCACCAAGCGCGCGGGACGGGCTTCTCCTCGACTCTTTCATTCCTTTTCCTGCCAGCCAACTTCCCCAAAGAACTTTATTTACATATATATATCCATTACAAACACAAACACATTCGGCCTTGTTTTCTGGAAAGGAAGTCCCTCAATTGTTCTTTTCTCATTTGATTTGACTTGATTACTTTTGATTCGAAAAAACGAGAGAGTGAAGATGCCGCCCACTGTGCCGGATAGAGGTGGTCCGGGGAGTAGTCAGCGCGCGAGGCCTTCGCTCGGGGGCAAGACTCTGGGTACTGCACGGCACCGGTATGTTTTTCTTTGCCAAATCCCTCTTTTTGCCTCGTCTTCTCTTTACGACGATGATTTATCGGACGGATATCTTGGAGGAAGGGGGGATGGGTGTCCTAGAATGAGATAACAAACGAGATAAGTGACTTTTGCTGACACGGGTTGTTGATTGAATCTAGGAAAATATTGAGAGATTCCATTACGGGTATCAGTATGTCTCCCCCCACCCTCTTTCCATCATCTTGCCTCAATTTCGTAGCTTCTGATGATGGAAACAATGACAAAATGAGGCTGGTGCTTTGCGAATATGGATGAGTTACCTGGCTAACCTGTGAATATAGCGAAGCCGGCGATCCGGTGAGTTGGAACTTCCTTCCTGCACGAGCAACGCCAGCGCTCTTTCCCCATGCGAGGATCACACCAAGAGGGGAAATCGGACATGCCAAAAAAAAGTTTCGAACCCGAAGGTTTTGATAGAAGAACTCTGCTGACTGTTGGCTTTCTCTTATGTTTTGTTTATAGACGCCTGGCCCGTCGTGGTGGTGTTAAGCGCATCTCCGGTACCATCTACGATGAGATGCGGAAAGTTTTAAAGATATTCCTGGAAGATGTAAGAACACGCCCGGATCCCAAGAGTCCTCTTCTGTATTTATCACTGACATACCATCCTTCTTGATAGGTGCTGCGAGATGCTTGCACTTACGTTGAATACCGAAATGCCAAAACTGTAACCGTGGAGGACGTACGTTTCTCACCCCGTGCCTTCCACCCTATTCTTCTTTCTCCTTGCTACCACCATGGTTTTTTTGGTCTTTCATAAGAGAGAAAATCGCTAATTCGTACGTATGCAGGTTCTCCACAGCCTCCGACGCCGAGGCAGAACGCTCTATGGCTTCGATCAGGATACATGGACTGAGCAGAAAACTCACCGTCGTCAAGATGCCAGCAGGAGTCGAGCCAGCAAGAGGCCCTATAGGGCCGATAGGGTGCAATTCTAGATGCCCCGATCTAGTAATGCCCGAAGCCCTTTCCCAGCTTCGTTGGGTTTGTGTTTTCCCTTTCTTTCTCTTGGTCTCTCGTCTTCTATATCTCTGTTTGCCTGCCATTTGATTCCCGGTTCGCGGAAGGGTTGTTTTAGCGTGCTTGGAGGCATTCTGATTTCATTTGACTTGATACGAATGATGAGAATAGTCTGGACTTTGCATTACGGAATAAGGAATCAACAGCATTGAATTGAGAATGCATTTCTTCATGTATCAACAAAAGTTCTCAGGAGTATTAAGCGTTGACATATGTATGCCAGCAAGGAAAGAAATAACAGCCAAATCAACAAAAAACAAGTTCCTATAGGGGTATCTCAAATGAAGGAATCTCGCAGCAACAAATAATCCAAAACCATGCTAAATTCAATCCCACCCACCTTCAGCTCCGTCTCCTCCAGGGAAAGGCTGATGACCCATTACCTCTTCTTTCTCTTGCTCGACTCCCACTCCTCCAGCGCCTTCTCCAGCGCCTTGGCTGCTCGCACCTCGTCCCGACGAAACACCCCGTTGAACATGGCCGGCAGCAGCATGGTGCTGTTAGCATGCTCCTGCGCAAATCCCACCTCAGCGTCCTTACCGCAGCGGTCCTTGACAATGCGTATGGCGCCATCAAGGAGATCCCGGCCGATGCCTTTGCCGCGGTACCGGAGGCGCGTGGTCCACGCTCGAATGACGCCTTTGCCGCCCCGGAAGCTCAAGCTCCTGCTCCTATTCTTGCGCCTACCGCTGCCTGATGACACAGACGAGAAGCGAGGCTCAAGTCTGAGCACCAGGACGCCGATCAGGGCACCGCCGTAGCGTGCGCCAATGATGAAATCTCCCTCAATACTGCCGGGCCCCTCAAGCCATGACCATCGCAGATTCTCAGCGAGGCTCACATAGCCGTCTGTGAAGTAGCGTATCGCCGTTAGATACGTCATTGTTACCCCGCAGGAGAGCAGGAGAGCCATGCTGGGGTCGGCGGTGGAGGGGTCGTAGGCCCAGCGATAAATGCCCGCCCAGGTAAGGAACAATAGGGTTATGCACAGCGGGTGGAAGACCATGGACTGGGCAGCGCGCTGTTTCATCTGCGCTATCGAGTCGGCGATGAGATTTAGGCCCGCAACTTTGTCATGGTAAGTGAGCAGCGGCTCCAAGGACAGAGGCGGGACATCGTCGATGGGGTCGAGAGGAGCCGAGGCTTGAATATGGGCAGAGGAGCGGGTGTCTGAGAAGGAAGTCGAAGCGCTAAGAGGCGAAGGAGACGGCGGAATGGGGAACTGATGGTGCGAATAAGGCTCGAGGTACGGAGTTGGTGCGTGAGAGGACACAGGTGTCGATGGCGAGGTTGCGCTGAGGGCGAGATTTGCCCGTAAAAATGTGAAGAACGCTGTCAAAGTCAGTGGGACGGTCGTTGACAAGAAGATTTGGGACTTGAAATGGTTCGTCAATGGGAGGAGGTTGATGGTTGTAATGGGAGATACACTAGTGAGGAGGTCATAGCTTGAAGCTGGCAGAGAAAGCTCGGAGCTTGGAGCTCGTGAGCTCAATTACACGGGAAGCTGGCCCAACAATGGTGGGGAGGGGTGAAAATTTCTGCTTGCGCTGGCTGCCAAGGTATAGATACACCTCGTTCTTGGCCGTTGATGTTCTCAAGGGGAACAAGAGCAGAAAGCGAGAGATAGAAGAAAGAAAGGACCGGAAATAGAGTGGGAAATACTTACCAGCACTGGTCCTCAAGCCCTGCACGACATTGACTCTGTCCACCACAGAAACCGGTCCGTAATTGGCGAGATCCAGCTCGCGAATGCCGGCGAGGCGCTGAGCTTCCTCCATGGTGTCATGCAGTAATGAATTCCCACCTCCCTAATCCAGGATAAACAGCTGCCTCTAATATGTTCGACTGATATAGCCAAGGCGGCCGGATGGCACCTTCGGGGAAAAAAAGTGTTTAAGGATATTAACCGCGGCAAAGGGTCCTCTAGAAGCGCGGAAACGTTCTGACTTAGCCGCAGTCTGGCGACCTAAAGATGCAAAGAGGGAGGAAACCAAGCTTGATACAAGCAAGGGAGTAAGTGATATGAGATCAAAGAAGATAGTGAGAAGAGAAAAGACTAGAAAAAAAATATGGAGATCAGGTGAAGACTGGGGCTCCAGGTCTCCAGGGGATCTGGAGAAGTGTGGGAGAGGTATGGGAGAAATATCCTCAGAGCAGATGGTCTTGTGTAACGGGTATAAACGCTGAGAGTAACGGAGCAGACGATGCACAAAGCAGGTGATAGGCGTCTCTCCTGGGTATCGCAAGTAATATGTATGTGGCTCAAAGAAGTGATACAAGGAGATCAACAAGGTTAAAAAATGCAGGCTGGTCGTTTCAGAAATCTCAAACGCCGAGAGAAGAAGAGCGTTAGAGACGAGTGATGGAAGCGAGGAGAGGGAACAAAGACGGGCAGGAAAAAGCTCAAGAGGAAAGAGGAGCACGAGTCGGAAGGGGGTATGGGGGGATAGATAAAAGAAACAGCCCTTCTTTTCTTTCTAATCTGCAAGATCTGCATCAAACATTTCTCCGTACATACACTAGAAAGCGACGGGACGGCTGTCAAAATCCATCAACCTAGCTGTTCCTAGTCCATCTGGTCCCCTACCTTTTGAGTGGTTAGCAAAGTAATCCAATGAACCAACACACGGCGTTTTTTGCTCATGTAAGAGGCGGGCAAAACCTTGTACATGCGCAGGCGCAAACGGCCAAGCGAGTCGAGGCGAGGCGAGACACGACAAGGCCCCTGGCTTCTTTCTGGGCCCATGCAATATCTTGCTTGCTTTGGCTCCGCTTGCAAACCGTAAAGTACCGGCTTGCTAGCACAGATTCACACAAACGGCGCCGAGCTCTAACGGCAAATAGATCGTCAACATCGCAGAACAGAGCGTCCAAACGAAGCGGCTTATCCCGTTGAACTGTCCGCGTTGTGATAGTGCATGTATAAAGCGGGCGGTGGCTGGCCCGGTGATGCTTGGGCCTCTGTCTAGAGCGTCTTGCCTTGTCATCTCCCCTCGCGGTGTTGCTCATTATTGGCAAGGAAGCGAGAGCTGAAGGCTGCTTTGGCCATGACCTGGTAGCTGAGCGCCATTTGTTCACTTGACCAAGCAGTAGCTGTTAGCAAATAATAGGCGGAAAAGAGGGCATACTCGTAAGTGTGTGTGAGCGTTTGTGTGTGGAGATGGTGGGAGACGACCAGGAGTGGAGGTTTCGCTATTTTTCTTCGCTGTGGACGATCAAACAGCGGCAACTGCACGCTGCAGGAGCACCTGCTTGGTTTCGGTGCAGCAGCAACGACGCCCAACGCTTCTTCGCTCCTTCTTCGTTGTCTAAACAACGAACCTTTTTTTAACTTTGAGGTAATTTGTAACTATCGTCATCTTCATCTTGGGTGATATGGTATCCTATCTCCTTTTCACCATCCTCACCACTCTTCGTAAACCTCAACTCCGTCCATTTCTCGTGTGCCTTCGGCCCCATCAGACTAAAACAACCCTTGCTGGGCCCCAAAAAGCTCAGACAAACCTGGGGTTTGCGAAACCGCCGCGCTCCTCCACCTCGAACCCAACCAGGCTAGCGATTCTCAAGCGCCACACAGCTTTTCTTCTCCTCGACAACGGTCTGGGCCTCCCCCGGTTGGCCAAAGACGAGCTGGAGGGCACGCGATAAGACGGGCAAGGGAGCAATTCATCCAATAGATGGGACGAGGCGTCAACCAACAGCAGCGCCACCGTTTGAAGACGCTGTCCTCGATTGGCCTCTCGTCCTCAAGAACCGCATGAGCAAGTTGAAGGCGCACGTCTTTTAACGACCGCCAAGCGAAAAACGGCTGTCGGGTCCAAATTGCGCAAAAACAGCTGATGATTGAGCGATGGAGGGAGATAAAGCGAACCGCCGGATGGATTCGACGTCCCGGTGCGCATGATGCTCTCTCTGGTCACTAGCATCACGCATGCCCCCAGACTTGCATGCAGCACTGGACCTGGCCGGCCATCCTTTCCTCCCCTTCCCGTCATCTTTATCAGGCCGAAATTTTGAAGGATCAAATGACGGTTCATGCTGTGCTCCAAGTCCATATCGTACAGTGACGGAGCCAGACAGCCGAACTGCATGCGTGAAGGATCATATCGGCCCTAGAACCCGGCGTTTCCTCTCCCCTCCTGTCTTCTGGTTGCATTATCCCGCGAGCTCTATCGGCCACGGGCACCCTCCCATCTCGGTACAACCACAACACCACAGAGATAACCGGACTTGAGCGAATCAGCAGACGAAACGGGCACTCACCAAGGATAAGTTTATCATTCGATGTATCACATCGACCACATGCCCTGTTCCGAGATCGTGGATTTGCATGGCTAATCATCACTAATACGACTGCGTTTCTGTCACCGATACGGCGAGGTGGTTGTGTCAGTATCTCTCTCTTCTCGTTCTGTGACATTGACGGGTAGCTGCCGTTTGATCTGATACGGAGTCAAGCAGCTGCAAGCATCGTCGTCCAGTGGTCAAGCAGTCAATCTTTCGGTAACACGGCCACTTAAGCTACCAAGCTAGCATCGACCCTCCTAAATGGGGACCTCTCCCCAAGGAGAGCAAGGGTGATTGATCCACTGCTGACGTACAGAGCATACGCGTCCGAAGACCCGTTGCTGGGCTGTTTGCGTATATGAACAGTTAGAGTTGCTCCGTTTGCTCGCTGGGACGGTCTGAACGGAGTGCCGTGATGACGTTTTGAGCACAATTGCTGAGACAAACCGGCCGTGAAAGCCGGCAGCGAGTGGGAGCTTACAAACAAACCTCTGGACCGAGCAGATGCTATATCACGCTGTCACTGTGTCAGTCAGCACCCCTCTGTTGACAGACGAATAAGCCGCTTGGATTTTGTGGCCGAGGAACGATACAAACCCTGTCCGCACGTCAGATCTTTATCATGCCGGCAGTATCAACCAGTGTCTGACTGGTGGGGGCATCTCCAGCTTTCCACGGTATCCGTTGAACAAGGTATTCCACTTCCCCGCTCTCGAAAATCGACAATCGTTGTGTTGCGTTATGTAGAACGATATTCGATGGCGGGCCTGCGATCGGATCTTGTGTCTGTCAAAACGCATATCACGAGAACTTGACTGATGGAGATGTATATAAGTCGGAAGAGCAGCGATAGGCCTCTTTATCGCTTCTGGAACAGGCGAAAACAGGCGCTATCACTTCATATGATTTCATGATCGTCCCGCTTGTAATTCTTTTGGGTATCCGCTTTCTTCTTTAACTCACTCAAGTGAGATTATGGGTCAGTAGATTATTTGCCATGTTTAAACACCATCATGGCGTCCAGCTGGACTGATGCTGAATTGAAGTCCTCTCCGGGCGTTCATGCATCACTTACCTTGGCCTGAGAGATTGTAACATTGCGAAGAAACGAGTTACAGAGTATTTACCTTTGAGTACCGGAGAAGGAGGCCAAATCATTGATCCCATATTGATGAGGTTTCATTGCATTCGCTAATTCTCAGTATCCCGCCAAATGACACAAGGACATCGGTAGCATTTGATAACCGGGCATTCGTCGACTACTTACCTATATGTATTCACTACTATACCCCCACGTTCGGCGAAAGAAAGGCCTGAGGTAAAGCCGATCCTAGCAGCTGTTTCCGCAGAGGAGAAATGCAAGATTCCTTGTCATACGTTTGCTCTCAATGCCCAACAGCGAGCCACATGTAATGTACAGGTTAGCAGAAGGATTGCCGTGGAAGGGCGCGCCAGACCGGCGGCATGATGACTGATCTATTCTAGGTGAAAAAAAAAGTGGTATTTCCGCCTTGGCTTTAAAATAGCATCCCAATACACTCATCCAACGTATTTCACAATCTGAGTTTGAAGTCAAAGAAGAGAAGAGTAGGGGCAGTCTCTTGCTTCAATCGCCCGAATCAATCAATTACACAGCTTAACTACCCCGTCAGCCATGAAAGTAACGGCGGTAAGACACCCTGGCGGGCATGGCATAGACGAGATATCGAGAGATCTTACGGTTGGCTGACACGGGTTTTTATGCCTTTGATACCCCAGATCTGGGTCTATCCTATCAAAGCCCTCCGCGGCATCTCGCTCCACAACGCCCATCTGGGGCCCCAGGGGATCAAGTATGACCGGCGATTCATGCTCTGGAGGGTCGGCGAGGACGGCGGGCTGTCCAAGGTCCAGCTGGATCGATATCCCGAGTGCAGTCGCTTTGCCCCAGAAATTGTCGGCGATGAGATTCACGTGCGATATCAGCCTCCAAGGGATCCTCTGGTGCCTCCATGTCCGGAGCAGAGCGTCGTGCTGCGCGTGCCTTTGGATCCAGACGTCTCGCGGCTTGACCGACAGGTCCTCAATCTCCACCAGGGCATGGTCAATGGCTACCGTATGGGAGCAGCTTACGACGAGTGGTTCACAGCTTGCTTTGGCTTTCCAACAGTCTTGGTCTACATTGGTGACGAGCGCCGCCCAGTCTTGGGCACCTTTTCGCCCAGAGCTCAGCCCGTTACGCCTCCTCCCACCCAACAGGGCTGGCTCTCCTACCTTTACAGCTTCATATGGGGAGGGGCGCAACGGCAGTCCGAGCCCGAGCCAGACTGGCTGACCTTCTCCGACATGGCAGCCTACCTCGTCGCAAGCGAAAAGTCGCTCCGCAACGTCAACGCGCGGCTCACGAGCGGCGGGGGCCCCGTCGACATTGTCCGGTTCCGCCCCAACATCGTCGTCGACGGCGAGGGCGAGGGCGACGAGTTCGACGAGGACTTTTGGGCGGAGCTGTCCATCCGCGGCCGCCCCGCGCTCGCCATGACCAAGATGTGTAACCGGTGCACCTCGCTCAACGTCGACTACGACACGGGGCGGTTCGGCGAGGGCGAGAAGGGCATGGTGCTCAAGAGGCTCATGTCGGATCGGAGGGTGGACAAGGGGTCCAAGTGGACGCCTGTGTTTGGAAAGTACGGCTTCTTGGTCGATGGCTTGGATGGGCTTGATGTGGCGGTTGGGGATGAGGTTGCTGTGACGAAGAGGACGAGTGAGAGGCCGGTGTGGGACTGGCAGTATAAGGATAAGAGCATTGCTCGCTTCTATCGCTATGCGTAGAGCAATCGGATTCTGTTCCGGCAGCTCCTCGTTGCTCAGGTGAGAATGCGGCATTCTGGCCTGCAGAGAAACCTGTTCACTCTTTCGGTCGTAACTCAGAGATGGGACGATAGGCCTTGTCGACTGGGATGGGAGCAACCGATTGTCTTCATCGACCGACGAGTCTGTTTGTTTGCTACAACATCCTGTCCCCGTCTTCATCGGGACGGGGAAGACCATCGGTGTGCTGCCTGTGCACAAACGATCATCTCACACAGGCAAACTCAATCTCTGTGTGACCAGGCCGCAATTCCTCTTCCCGCTTGGTAATGCAATGTTTTCATTGACGCAAATAAACTGCACGAGAGATCACTAGATCGTAACAAACTAGCAGAGCATGATCAGAGGGGAAAAAAAAAGAAAACAAAAAGGACGATCCACGACAGGCTCGACTCCTTACCTAGCTTGCGTGTGTTCACCAGGTAAAACAAAATAATAGCCAACTACAGTTCTCTCCTCGTTCATAGCTTCCTCTCCTACGCCCTCCCCCCTCTCCTTCGTATGATATCTCCTCATCATAGCAACCTGTTTACCTTCTCTTATGACACTTTTCAAACAAGAAACTGAGCATGGACAAGGTGTGAAGACCTTTTTTTCTCCGGACATAAAACCAGGAAGGCGAGTTCTCTTCTATACGCACATTTTACCAGCACGACTCAATGTGACCAGACTACCTAGCCTACGGTCACACTGTCCTCACTTCCTTCAAGTTTGCACACCAGAGGATATAGTGTCTCTGAAGCTCATTGCCTCTCATTTCTCTCACTGCTAGGGGCTGCTGGTAAACTCGACAGAGCGTTAACATTTCAACGGTGTACCGGGCAACTTCAGTCCTATATCAACCATTACCTACCTACCCAGTACCTCCCCAAGGTAATGTTTAGTATCTTGTGAGTACAGTAAAAGCTACTGTTAGGGCTAAGAACGTGGGTGGCATGCCTTTTCTCAACATGCTATTCTGTTTTAAAGGAGGAAACCGGTTGGGGAGCGTCAAATGTGAAGCTGCAGCTACAGATCATTGTCTGGTACGCTTCCAGCGCCGTCATGGAATCAAGGCTTATCGTTGAAGATGGTTCATAGGACTATTCATTGAAATCCATGTCTATTTGCTCTATTGTGTCATGCTCACATGTCCAGTTTCGAGTTCCTTTGTCTTACGACAACCAGTCTATATGTGGATAGGTTCAGGTACGTGAGCCAGCCCCTTCCATTCAGTCATCCCAAATAGCGCCAGAGTATGAAGAGAACTGTGTCGTCTAAGAGGCAGAAAAACAACCCCCAAAGCAGGCTAAGAAGCAAAACAAAACCTCAACCGCAACCGAAATAGCAAAACTCCACGCACCGATGAAGAAAACAGCGACAAGGAAATGAGAGAAAAAGAACGTAAACAACAAGCCCCCAGGTTACAGCCGGCAAGGAAGGCAAATTGCAGGCGGTTGTGACACAGAGCACACTCTTGGCGGAACCGAGCCGGCTCCGAAAAGTGAACAAAGGGCCAAATTTCCGCCTTCAGCACCATGTTCTTGCCCAATTCTTTCCAAGAAGGTAAGTAGCAAAGGGAAAAGAGCCAATGAGTGCTGAAGAGGCCATTAGCGAGTCATAGTGTCCGTATGCCGAGGTACGGACGACTGTCAGGCTGCGGCCATAGCTCTTCGCCGAATCCCACCTCGATGCCTCTGAGAAGAATGCCATAAGCCAGCTGCAGTGTCCACCTAGAGGGTAACACCTTGCAGGGGCCCTTGTCCTGGTCGTGATGCGCGATGCCGAAAAGGGTGTGTTGGAGAAACCGCCCACGTGGGACTTGCAGCCAGCTGCAAAATCCACACGCAAGACACAGACAGACTGAAAAGACAATTTGGAAAAAGTGATGTCGACCGGGGTTCAGATGCCACCGCTTCTGTGGGCAAGCTGCATGCGTGCAGCCGTGATTCATCTTGGACAGGTTTGACCGAAAAGGAGAAAGGCGACAAAGTGCCGAGAAGCAAAGTGTTGATTCGCGAGGGCGCAGTTGTAGTAGTGAAAGAAGGAGCAAAGGATACAAAAGGAAGTCATAAGCCATGAAAAGCGTACCAATCGGAGGGTTGTAAGGAAGCGACTGGCTCGCCGGGAGTGAATATACCGTCAAGATAAATGCGGTAGGTTGCATTCAGGGTTTTCGTTCCACCTCGATGGAATTGCGGCATGAACAAGCGCGGTTGTCGAGAGAGACAAAGAGATCCTCCAAGGGCCTGCCATGGAATGTAACCAATCCGCTTATTGCTGTCTCAATACCTGCCATTGCGAAGACGGCCAGGTTACGCCGCCTGGGTACAAGGGCGGCATAGATGAAGCTTGCAGTAGGTGCATTCATAGATTGCCCAGTGAGGCCCCGAGCGGCAGTGCTGGCAAATCCACTGGACGAGAGTATTGTCAGACTTAATCATGACAAAGGAGTGAGCGCAAGAGACTGCCATTGTCATGGGAGCGTGTTGATGAGTCGTGATTCCAGAGAAGATGGGTTGAGTCGGGAGGAGTTGGTTGCTTATTCGGCAGAGGTGAAGTGCCTGAAAGAAAGGGACAGCTTGGATGCTTCTGACAAAGAGCAATAAGAACTCAAATAGTGGAAGCCGAGTGCCTTGGCCCGGGATGACTGATGAGAAACGGAAAATATAGAGTCTTGAGGTGGTGGTTGTCAGATCGTGGCTGCTTACAGAGACGAAGGCGTCTCTTTAAAGTTTTCAACGACAAAGCGTTTCTCCAGACACAAGGTTCGTTGGGTAAGGGTAAAGAAGTAAAGAACAAAAAGTTTGCGTGAATGATCAAGGCTGTGTATCAGGCAAATGGAACGACGTTGAGTGTTGGGTGTTGTGAGAGCTCGACTTGATGGTTGCGAACCGCAAGCTTATATGTTCTTCGGAGTCGTGCGCCGGCGTCCGTGATGAGATGCAGTAACCGTGATCTCTAACCGTGAGTGTTTGCATGAAGATACCAGTATGTAGCTGGAAGGCAGAAGCTGGTGGAAATTCAGGGATTACGACCTGGGATAGCACGGAACGGAGAGCACCCAGATGCCGGTAGACCGTGAACAGACCAGTTGAGACGAGGCGAAGCGTATGGCATGGGGCCAAGTAGCAAGGGAGGGGTCTGTCTTCGATTGTCGATAAGCCCCCGGAAAGACGGGTGTGGGTTGTCAGTCCGGAGGCAGGGTGACGAGCAGTATGACGATGGGGGAGCCTCCCTGTGTGGCAGTTGCAACCAAGACTGACAGACAACGGCCGGGGTTTCAAAAATAGAACCAAACCGACAACGTTTGTTTGAACTCCAAGGGTCGGGAAGAAGACGGGGATGCGGGAGCGGGTGCCGACAGAGACGATAGAGAACTGCCGAGAGATTGTTTCTGGAAGGCGACGGTGCGGAAGTGCGTTTGATGGCGATGGACAGCTTGGATTGGAGAGCAGCTGCACTGAATTCCCCGGCAGCCTGACAGAGTTCGGCCAAGAGTACTCTACCTGGGTCGATATCCAATCGTATGCTCAAGTATCTTATTGGCAGTTGCCGGGCAAGGTGCGAGCAACCAAGTACAAGATTGGGCAGGTGAAGGGGAAGAGGGTTTGAAGACAAGGATGAGAATGTTGGAGAGCTGGAACAAGAAAGAAACAGCAGAGAGGGAGAAGAGAAGAGAAGTTGAAGAGCGAGGAATTAAAGAAGGGGGGCGTGATTGACGATCGAGCGAGGAGTGAAATCTGGTTGACTACGTAGAGAGGGAAAGCGCAGCCCCGTGCAGCTTGAATCAGTGGAAGGTGAGGACTGGGATGCAGCTTCATGCAGCATGCACCTGGAGGCACAGTTAATATAAAATGTACGAAATACATGCAGGCCGCAAGGCAAGGTACCTTACCTGAGAAGCGGGTGAGGTACTGTACTTGGCGCCAGTACCGCGGTGTACTCTGCGTCCAATGCGTACCTCGAGGTACCTTGCCCGAAGACGGGCAAGACAAGGAAGGTGCTCTGGAGCCCAACTCTCCATCCTGAGGCAGAAAGAGCGAATGCCTCGTGAATCTCACCTTACCAAGTATATACACACCGACAAAGGCTTTGGCAAGCTGCATCATTTCGATTGTGTTGTCTTGAACAGCTGCCATGTCGACTTGCTGTTGCGTCGAATCACTGCTCTGCTTGATCTGCTTTGGCCTGGCCGGCGCAACTACAGTAACATCGTGAGGTGCTCTCTTTCAAACATGCAGCTCGTCGACCCGGCGGAATGGAAGGGTGATCAGATCATCGCGCATAGCCCTCCTGGCCCTGGCCCTGGCCCTGGAGCAGTTGACGACACAAAGCAGATGCTGCGTTCAAAGCTCACCAAGCTCCCGCGCGGACGCAACTCTCCGTTTCAACCGGAACGATCGCTGACAGATGCTGGTCACGTTCCCGACTCCCTGGCCTGCGGGCGGTTGACCGGGGCAGGCGAGTACTAGTCGACAGAGCCGCAGAGGACAGGGGCATAGCATTTCCAAAACAGTCGAGGCCAAACCCCGGTATGTCAACTGCAAGCTAGGCGACAGAAGGGCAAAAGTTCAAGCCCTTCGTCATCATCACTGCTGCAACTCGGCGTGTATACAGCAGAACGTACCCCCCAACCCCCCTTCTCCGAGCTGATCCGCAAGCGCCGCGCAAATCTCCCATGAGCATGGCTTGGATGGGTGTCTGGAAGAGTCTGACTGCCCGGAGACACGGGAGAGCGGGCTTCTCACCCCTGGACTGGCTGGCACTAGGATGAGTGTGTCAAAGACACCGCGGGTCACTGAAATAAGAGCTACTACAAGTAGTAGTAAGCTAAGCTGCGCCCACTCGTGATTCTTCGGGAGGCAAGGCCTAATTCTCGGCAGGAAAACAAGATGGTTGCTTTTGCTGGCGAGTTGCACAAGGCACGGCTCTGTGTGATGCTGAGTTGGCGTTTGATGAGTGTGGACGAATGGCTCGGGCTGAAGCTGTATGGCAGCCACGTCTCAAGATGGACTAATTCATGCCGCAATAGGCTGCCGGAAGATGCGCTCGACATGATGCATGGCGTACCAAGGAAACGTACGGCTTGTGCATGCAAAACGGCCTTGCTACCTGGCAGGAAAGCATCTCGTCGGGGCGTTGCGGGACACCTTGGAAGTCAGAGATGATACCTACCTTACATCAGTACGGATACTCGTGCTCGTACTCGAGGTGTTACAATTACGGACGCACAACTCTACTCGAATACGCCGCCGCATGTAGCCCTACCGGCTAACTGGCCCCGCGATGGGATGGATCCCAACCAGAAAAGTTCCCAAGCCAGGCCCGTGTTGATGGCTCCGACACACTTTGTCCAAGATGGGATCAAGATGCGCCGAAAGCGAGAGTGAGGGTGAGACGGGCGGGTGACAGTCTGCCTGCCTGCTTGTTCGGGGTGAGCAGTTATCGCACGTCTGCCGACCACGGTGCGTCGTGGCTTTCTCTTTTCTCTTCCCTCGCAGCCAGGCCGCAGCGCCGGCCCGGCGTGGACCGTTGACAGCGCCTCATGTCGGATGCTGTTTATTTAGGGCTCCTTGGGTGGGGTCTTGCAGGCATGCCTTTGTATACCTCGGCGCCGTTTGGAGCTGGCACAGCGCCGAAGCGTGAATTGGATGGAGCCAATCCTTGGAACAGGTCCGGAAACACGGAGGAGGATGAAGCAAGCCAAACCATTGACTGAATCAGTCTCGCTGGATCAATCCGCGGCGCCATGAAGGCGGTGTGTTTTGCGAATGCCCATGAGGTTATTATGCTCTGCCAGAAGGAGACCAAAAGTAAGGCGAGCTAGGGCCGCAAGGTACTCGGCAACGACAGTAAGACTTACTATTGCAGGTCTATGTTGCAAGGATGTGTCGAGGCTGATGATCTGCTGCTGCTATTTAGGACAAGGCTTCTCCTACAACACTAGCTGCTTTCATGCATGTACAAGCGCGTACTCCGTGCCTTGCCTACATGCAGGTGGTAGCAGTTGGGTACTAAGGCGCCCTCTTCCGAGGTAGCATCTCGCATGCTGTTCCTGCTAAGGTATGTATGCAGCAGCAGCATGGATGAATTCCAGCAGGGGACTACTTCGTATCAAGTAAGGCAATACTGATCCACCGGCTCCAGGAGCGAAGCGGGAAAGAAAAGATGTGAACTGTATGTGATTGACTTCTCTTCTCTCCTTGCCCCAGGTTGCCCGGTCGGTACTTTAGGTCGTCATCGGGTGGCTTGAGTTGGCCCTGGTCGAAGTACCTCCTACCCAGGCACATCGGCTAAGCTCCTAACAGAATGCTGAACAGAGTAATTCGACAGCCCAATTGACCAATAGGAATGTCAAAGGCCAAGGCCGCATGTCAGGTACTCCAGATTGTACCCCAGCGTCTCGACCGCAGAGGTACAGAGCTCGGGCTAGAGTATGGGAAGATCCAGCCTCGATTGCCACCGACGGGCTTCTGCATGGCTGCACAAGCTGCTGGAGCCGCGCTCACCGATATGCAGTGCGAGACCAAGAGCCAAGTCGTGATACGCTGGCGCTGTTGTTTTCTCACTCAGCTGGAGATACTAAGGTAGGCAGTCGTCCAGAGCTTGCGCGCGGCTTGCAGGGGGCACCGCCCGCATCTGGCCTCCCTGTCTACATACGCTTGCTTTCAAGCCAGCGCCAACAAGCGAGCCAGCTAAAGCATGCAAGGTGCGTACACGCAAGATGCAGAGGCTGCCATTTTGGGTGCTATCCGCAGTGACCCGCGCATGGAAAGACCCAATGGCCTTACAAGATGCTTCCTTTGTATGCTACGTGTAAGTTATCACCTCTTGAACAACTTTCTTGCATGTCGGGAGGCGATCGATTGGGCTACCTGTCTAGGCTGATTCAGTCTCGACCTGGGTCTGCACAATTGTTGGTTATCCCGACCTCCAGACCTTGATTTCCGCGCAGGTTTTTGTATGCCCAACACGGCAATCGCATGCTTCCTGCGAAGGACCGCGGTCTTGTCTCAGGGTGGTGTCTCAGACTGTCGCCTTCCCCCCCTTCATTCTGACCTACGAATATCACTCCGGGCAGGCTTTCTACCTTTTAACACACCCCATGGCATGTCGTGGGTTGCCTGACGTTTCCTCACCATCCACACCACTTTACGGCGCTGGCTCCGTTTGAGACATGTGTGCATGGTTGCGTCTGGGATGAACCAGTTGACAGCCAGGCCATCTGGAATGCTTGTTCAGCATAGAGGATGAGAAAGCTAAGATCATGGCCGTCCGGAATCTCGCATCAAGTCCCGCGCGGCCGGTCAGGCATCGGGGGAAATAGAATGTACCAGGCGAGGTGTCTAGCGCTCCTGGCATACATGGCAATAGTGTGATTCAGAACCGCGGACAGGCCTCGACGTGGACTCCATGTAATTGAAGCATTACTGGACCACACGGCAGGCTTGAGCAAGGTAAGGCAAGGTAG